ACATGATTAAGGAGAACATGATCATGCCAGTTGAAGAAAAGATTTCCCAGCTCCGCGAGTCACCCCGACCAGAGACCAAAACGAATGTCCGATCATTCCTCGGAATGTGCGGCTACTACCAGAAATTCATTCCAAAGTTTAATTTGGTTGCTGCACCCCTGTCGGATCTAACGAAGAAGGATCAACCGGAAAAGGTAAAATGGAATGATGACTGCGAAGTCGCCTTCCAGAAGTTGAAGGAGTTACTTACAGCAGAACCCATATTGCATTTACCCAATCTTGAAAAACCCTTCATCCTACGTACCGACGCCAGTGCTCTAGGACTGGGCGCCGTCCTCATGCAATCAGATGAAAAGGAATATCCAACTTTATTTCCCACCGCTTACGCTAGTAGGAAATTATCCACAGCAGAAAGGAATTACGCGGCCATAGAGTTGGAATGTCTCGCTTTGATATGGGCCGTGGAAAAATTTCAGCCGTACCTATATGGGAAACATTTTGTCCTACAGACTGACCATAGGCCATTGTCATTCCTATCTTCAGCAAAGAATTTGAATTCCCGATTAATGAGATGGTCCCTACTACTGCAACCATACTCATTCCACATAGAGTACATCCCCGGAAAAATAAATTTTGCCCCAGACTTCTTAAGTCGTCATCCCGTTTCTGACGCCGAAGATAACTCGGACAAAGTTTTAAATGTTCACGCACCAGAATTTGTACCTTCGGGAACAAATCCAGCCAAAAAGGAATGCTCCCCACAGAAGAAATTTTAAAGCCAGCATTTAATGCTTCATTCTATGAATGAATCATCTTAGGATGGGCCTATGTGACGATCTGAGGCTGGACTTTGTAAAATTTCTTATATCGTAAGGCCGCCCTTGGAAACCCTTGTATAATAACTCCTTTCCATCCCCTCAAGTTGCCCCGAAGTCGCTCTGCACGAGTGAGTTCCTTGTGACGATCTGAGGCTGGACTTTGTAAAATTTCTTATATCGTAAGGCCGCCCTTGGAAACCCTTGTATAATAACTCCTTTCCATCCCCTCAAGTTGCCCCGAAGTCGCTCTGCACGAGTGAGTTCCCTTGTAATATCACATTCCTGCATCAGTTCGCTCACCACCCCCCCCCCTGAACATGCTATTTGCGGTCAACCATCCCCCCCTCATTTTTGCCCTGTAGACAGCAAGGCCGAGTATCGTCCCTTGCTGGAAATGCATTGTCTAGACAGAGAACTCACGCCGAAGCCTGAAAAAGGATGGTCACCTCAGTCCGATTAACCTTAAGGGTTGAAGGTCAAACCCGCAACAGTGAAAGTGATTTTCATTGGATAGAAAATTGACCCCTCATGTGAATCACCCAATTGAACCATCAGCTAATCGTCATCGAACTCGAATAAATAGCCTGGACAAGCAAGATTCTGCCTTTTATGATCTGATCACTTGACTGTGAATGCTGGAAGGATCTGCACTCAGAACTTCGTCAGCATGATACATAAGACGTAGGATCCTATAATCGTTCATCATGACTTTAAGATCTGATCACTTGATTGTGGACGCTTGAAGTGACTAGACTTAGCACTTCACTGGCGTGATACTTAACTTCAACTGCTACCTAGAGTACTAGTAAGTACGCAACCATGATTTTGGTATTGCACTTGTATTGTTCATTCGCTATGTCTCAAATATTCGATCGTGTTTGACCCTATTCCAATAATGCCTATATTCACTTTATATTGATATTATGGATTATATTATTGTTTTTGCTGTGGGTTTCGACATGCCGCCATCCCATCATGGGGATGGTAGGTTGTTGTTCCAACCCGCCCATGTCTCTTTTAACGAGATGACAATACGGACACTATGTACCTGTAGATATAATGATTGTTATTGATACCATGTCCCATATTTTATTAATTAAAATGTTGGAGTGGTCTAACATTGTCGCGATGCAACATATGCTCCCGCCGACAATGACAAGACTTATAATCACATCCACCATTTGGATGTATATGCACGAGCTATGTCACCTTCCATACATCGATCTGAATTCGTTGCTAGTGGAACGGGACTTATCAGCTTATGGATATTCGCCTGGATACTTATCCAATTTTGTATCATTTTGCCTTTAGCCTGGTTTCTACTACTGGACCGACTTACCTCGAGCTGGAACTAGGGGATGATCACATCCTACACCAAACTACCTGACAGCTAGGACTTCGAGATCCAGGGACTCTCACCACCACGATTTATCGCGGGAGAGTCATTTTCCCCTCGCAGACATCCCAAGGATTCTACGACCGGGAACTCCGACTTCGCTACGCTCAGAACAGCACCGAAGACCGGAACAGGGACACTGCTTCTTGAACAGAAGGACTCCCACACTGTGTGATCCACCGAGACCATCACAGAATCTATAAAGGCTAAGTTTACCAAGAACGAGCATAGAACTTGAGCAAGATAGCAATAGTAATGATGATACCGCCTGTATGTTAGGGACACTTGCTTTGGGTTAATATACTTTTCTAATTGGATGAAATCCGTTTGATATATATACATTGAGCATCCCGAGTGTTTCAAGTAGGAAGTTGTAAATATTATTGTGTAATAAATATTTGTAGTTAATTTCACCTTTAACTAAGACTTCGTTTCAGTCTATACTATATGTATATAGATAGGTGTTATGTCCGTGTGGTTATTCGGCTTAAATAACATATCCCTAGACAGAGTGCCAAGAGGAGTTCTCATACGAGAGACACTCTTCTCCAATAAGTCATAAGTCAGATCACCAGGCAATAGGTCGATAACATCAGGCAATAGGTCGATAATGACATCTAAAACATCAGGCAATAGGTTGATAATGACATCTAAAACATCAGGCAATAGGTCGATAATGACATCTGAAACATCAGTCAATAAGTCGGTAATGACATCTAAAACATCAGGCAATAGGTCGATAATGACATCTAAACAAACATCAGACAATAGGTCGATAATGACATCTAAAACATCAGGCAATAGGTCGATAATGACATCTAAAACATCAGGCAATAGGTCAATAATGACATCTAAACAAACATCAGACAATAGGTCGATAATGACATCTAAACAAACATCAGACAATATGTCGATAATGACATCTAAACAAACATCAGGAAATAGGTCGATAATGACATCTAAACATCAGGAAATATGTCGATAATGACATCTAAACAAACATCAGTTCGATAATGACATCTAAAACATCAGTCAATAAGTCGATAATGACATCTAAAACATCAGGCAATAGGTCGATAATGACATCTAAAACATCAGGCAATAGGTTGATAATGACATCTAAAACATCAGGCAATAGGTCGATAATGACATCTAAAACATCAGTCAATAAGTCGATAATGACATCTAAAACATCAGGCAATAGGTCGATAATGACATCTAAACAAACATCAGACAATAGGTCGATAATGACATCTAAAACATCAGGCAATAGGTCGATAATGACATCTAAAACATCAGGCAATAGGTCGATAATGACATCTAAACAAACATCAGACAATAGGTCGATAATGACATCTAAAACATCAGGCAATAGGTCGATAATGACATCTAAAACATCAGGCAATAGGTCAATAATGACATCTAAACAAACATCAGACAATAGGTCGATAATGACATCTAAACAAACATCAGACAATATGTCGATAATGACATCTAAACAAACATCAGGAAATAGGTCGATAATGACATCTAAACATCAGGAAATATGTCGATAATGACATCTAAACAAACATCAGACAATAGGTCGATAATGACATCTAAACAAACAGGCAATAGGTCGATAATGACATCTAAACAAACATCAGGCATTAGGTCGATAATGACATCTAAACAAACAGGCAATAGGTCGATAATGACATCTAAACAAACATCAGGCAATAGGTCGATAATGACATCTAAACAAACATCAGGAAATATGTCGATAATGACATCTAAACAAACATCCGGCAATAGGTCGATAATGACATCTAAAAATCAGGAAATATGTCGATAATGACATCTAAACAAACATCAGGCGATAGGTCGATAACGACATATAAACAAACATTAGGCTGTATTTCAAAGAAATCTTAACAAACAGCAGGATATATATAGCACAAAATCTTGACTTACATTCTATAACATAAACATCATTTTAAAACATAAACATAATTCTATAACATAAACATCATTCTTTAACATAAACATCATTCAATATAACATAAAAATCCTCCTATAAAAAAACATCATTCTAAAACATAAACATCTCTCTACTACATAAACATTATTTTAAGACATAAACATCATTCTATAACATAAACATCATTCTATAACATAAACATCATTCTATAACATAAACATCATTCTAGAACATAAACATCATTCTATAACATAAACATCATTCTATAACATAAACATCATTCTAAAACATAAACTTCATTCTATAACATAAACATCATTCTAAAACATAAACATCATTCTGTAACATAAACATACATCTAAAACATAAACATCATTCTATAACATAAACATCATTCTAAGACATAAACTTCATTCTATAACATAAACATCATTCTAAAACATAAACATCATTCTATAACATAATTATAATGAAGAAGTTAAAAAACTCGGGGAATTTTTTTGCAGATAATATTTTAATTTTAATTTTGTTTGTTCCATAAAATGAGGACCGGGTTGGAGGGGGGGGGGGGCTTCTTTATCTTTAATGTGATGTGTCTTTTCTTTGAGTAGCTCATGATGTGTCTTTTNTTCTATAACATAAACATCATTCTAAGACATAAACTTCATTCTATAACATAAACATCATTCTAAAACATAAACATCATTCTATAACATAATTATAATGAAGAAGTTAAAAAACTCGGGGAATTTTTTTGCAGATAATATTTTAATTTTAATTTTGTTTGTTCCATAAAATGAGGACCGGGTTGGAGGGGGGGGGGGGGCTTCTTTATCTTTAATGTGATGTGTCTTTTCATTGAGTAGCTCATGATGTGTCTTTTCATTGAGTAGCTCATGATGTGTCTTTTCATTGAGTAGTACATGATGTGTCTTTTCATTGAGTAGCTCATGATGTGTCTTTTCATTGAGTAGTTTATTTCTGTGTATTGCGGATAGAACATTGGAGCGTTGCCATAGTGACTGCTGACGGCCGCCTTAGATATTGGTCTTACCTAAACCCCACTCCTTGTACTTCCTTGTCCGCATGTATGTGTGTGTGGCTGTGAATATTGGCTTCCTGTGTAACTAAAGCATATGCGAGTTTGATTGCGCGAGTTGTTTGTGTGTGAAGCACCGAGTTAAAAAAATTTTCAAGGGCGTTAAATCTGACATGCCCTTTAAAGGGGCTGCCGTGATCCGTTCAGGGTTCTTTGTGACCTTGACATTGTTTGATGCACGCGTCATACTTCTCGTCGCACAAGTTCGGAATCATGGAGAACAAGAAGCTTGGCCGCTCCATGAAACAGCGATGCTTAATCTGACACTGAATCTGGCAGTTAGCCTCGCTGTCAGAGATGGCGGCCATCATGAGAAGGCAGACGATGAAGGCAGTACGCATCTTGCTCGTTTCACCTTCAATGGCAAAAAAAACAACAAAAGTTATTGCTATTTAGTTTTTGCTGCACAAAATAAAAATGTTCATGAATGTAAATTGATAGCAAATTTACAAAAGAGTGTATTTATCCAGCAAAGACCGAAGCTATTTTGAGTTTTCTTTGGTCATTTTCTTAAATACAAGGACACAATAATCCGATGAGTGAGTATGTTTTTGTATGTAATGACCAAAGGTCGGTTGTTGCAGGAGTAGAGACATGTCTTGACATCACTGAAAGGTCAGTTGTTGCAGGAGTATAGACATGTCTTGACAACACGGAAAGGTCAGTTGTTGCAGGAATAGAGACATGTCTTGACATCACGGAAAGGTCAGTTGCTGCAGGAGAAGAGACATGTCTTGACATCACAGAAAGGTCAGTTGCTGCAGGAGTAGAGACATGTCTTGACATCACGGAAAGGTCAGTTGCTGCAGGAGAAGAGACATGTCTTGACATCACTGAACGGTCAGTTGTTGCAGGAGTGTAGACATGTCTTGACAACACGGAAAGGTCAGTTATTGCAGGAGTGTAGACATGTCTTGACAACACGGAAAGGTCAGTTATTGCAGGAGTAGAGACATGTCTTGACATCATTGATGCAGTCGTTCTCTGGCAGATGTGATCCACTTGGAGGCAATAGCGCCGACCACGCATCGTCGCCAATAGCCGGACAGTGAGCGTTGAGCATCAGACAGTTAGCCTTACACGCTTCGTTGCCCTCAGCTCGTGACATGACGAGCCCAAGTGTGACAAGGACGAGGATGACGTGTGGTGCGACATGTTGGCTGTGACGTCCTAGCATTTTGTGCTTCAGGTTAATGTCAGATGGCATCTGACAGTGGGTGAGTTACTGGCTAAATGAGAGATGTCTTCAGTTGCAGGGTGAGTTCCTGGTTAAATGAGAGATGCCATCTATTATAGGTTGAGGTCCTGGTTAAATGAGATGTCTTCAGTTACAGTGCACTTCCTGGTTAAATGTGAGACGTCTTCAGTTACAGGGCACTTCCTGGTTAAATGTGAGACGTCTTCAGTTACAGTGCACTTCCTGGTTAAATGTGAGATGTCTTGAGTTGTAGGGGGAGTTCCTGGATAAATGTGAGATGTCTTCAGTTGCAGGGCACTTCCTGGTGAGCAAGGCAGAACAAGTAGTCAGATGATATAAGCTTGGACAACCGATCGCTTAGGGTAGTTGGCATGAACAAACCTCAGCAACCAAACAAACAGCCAAGCTATAAACCTTTGCTTTGATCACAAGCTCCTTGCTCCTGTTAACCATAAAGTAAAGCATGGATGGCAATAAATTACATCTTGAGCTCTACACTTCCTAAGTCATCATGGTCCCTTCTTTGGGCAGTTTGAGAATTGTTTTATGCAGGGGCAAGTGATTTAAGTCTCACCGTAGCCATCAGTGGTTGGCGATATAAGTCCAGCAGCTGCAAAGCGCAGAGGGGACAGAACTCTGAACGTAAAGTCCAAGAGCTGAGGGGACAGAACTCTAAACGTAAAGTCCAAGAGCTGAGGGGACAGAACTCTAAACGTAAAGTCCAAGAACAGCGAGGCGCAGAGGGGATAGAACACTAAATGGCGTTTTCAAAGAGTAAATATTAATTTCTTAGATGTATTAAAACATGTTAATCATAGTTGATGAATTAACTTTACTTTCATGAATTCTCAAGACCACTTGCACCTTACTTAAATTGATAGAATGGCTATTTACAAGACTTATTAGAATCGGAATGCATCAAAACTACATACATTAAAAGAATGCCTATTCGCATTAGTCTAGTTTCAAACGATATTCACCTTACTTATATACATTAAAAGAATCACTATTCACCTTATGTACATTAAAAGAATCACTATTCACCTTACTTAAATTAGAAAAGCTATTCATCCTACTTATAAACCTTTGTATAAACTTATCTACCTAAAACACATTGCTATGGTCCATATTCACTTTCCTTTGAGAATTGTAAAGTCTATATCAGGATCCCACGCTAGTAGCAGAAATAAAAAAACGAATAGCCTCAGCTGGGCAGGACACTTAGAAAGAATGACAGAGGGGGGGGGGGAAGAGGGTACATCAACAAAACCCCAGAGGAAAACGGCTCTAGTGCAGACCTAGGCTTAGCTGGGAATCCAAGCATGGAAAAGAAAAGGATCAGTTAAGTCTGAGTGGAAGGAAGCAGTGAGGCAAGCCAAAGCCCTCCATGGTCTGTAGCGCCACAGGGATGGATGGATGGATGGATGGATGGATGGATGGATGGATGGATGGATGGATGGAGATGAAATTAATGTTTAAACCTTCTTTTTATGTTCATATGTAATGAATGCCTGACCCCAAAGTTGTATACTTCACTATTTACTGGTCCGGTTAGTTACTACACAAGTGTCTGCATTTGTATAAGTTAATATTGCAACTCACCAGTAACGTTTTCAGAGGAGGAATGAAGATATGTCGCTGTTGTCTGCTGGTTCTGATCTTGTCTGGTTTTATTGTCTGCAGGTGACGGGCGTGGCAGGGGCAATTACCTCGTGCTACATTCCTTGACATAACCAATCGGTGAGTAGATAGACAGTTGTAAGCACGTGCACTGTGTCTCCATGCCACGTTGTCTCGGGTAAATCAATGGCCTCCCTTTCATCTGGAAGTCTCTAAGTGGGAGGACGCGGTCTTACCGGTAACAACAATCAGAAACATCAGGAGTATATGCAGGACATTGTCCCACTGACATGTGAACATGAACGGTTGGAGGACATTGTACCAGTGACATAGAGACACAAACATTTGGAAGTCATTGTCCTGGTGACATATAAATACAATCATGGTGAGGACATAGTCCTACTTACATGTAAACAGAATACTGCGAGGAAATAGTCCCACTGAAATATAAACATAAACAGTGTGGGGTGGGGACTGACATTAGCAGTAACCATTACGGAAGATTACGAGTCCCTTAGGCTGTATGACATTGTGTGACATTGTGCCGCATTGCACCCAGTGACATTTCTAACAACTCCTTTGACGTCACCCGTTATAAATCTGTATCGTCCAAGTGATTCTCCATTACATAGAAAAGGGGGTGGGGGCGTCTGCTGCCTGTAAAAGTTGATTCTCCATCTACCATCCCATGCCGTGTGGTTTCACCACATCCAGTGAAGCTACACAATCGTCTCTTTTGAGACAGACTTATGCCCGAAAACAAAATGGCGAAGAGATATAACCCCACTGACGTATAAATTACTACAACTTGAAGTTTTGTTAAACCTCCTGGTATCAATATTTTCAGTATTTACTCCAGACAGATAACAACCTTCTTGTAAGTTTCAATACATTCAATTACCCCTCCACCCTACTCTGTTTCTCCTGTGCGGCTTACACGACTGTTTCCATGAAGCTATTGGCGCAGAGAGGTGAATTTCTCAGTGCGTGTACTGCTTGGTAAATAAACCTTTTTCAAATGGAAATCACTGTGTAAGCGTGTCCCATGCTATGTTCAAACAAACCTTGATATTATTTTTAGATGTCATTGTGGTGCAAGATCCTGAAAATAGTCTTTCAGAAGCTTAGTATATGCTCTATTCATGCTTTTTTTATGATGCTCCATCTGGGAAAATGATATAAAAACTAGATGTAGCCCGCCAAACATTGGAGACAGCAATGCGTGAACTTCCAATCTACTAAAGTTACTTGACAAAAACGTGGACTCAAGTCACGCACATTTAAGAATGCCAATTCTGCTACACCCTTTCCCCCTCCCCTTTTCATGATACGTCACTGCACACTTTTTATTTCACGCCGACCCGCGGCTTAGCAGACGCCGCATTTAGCATACGCCGCGAGCTGGCTGGCAGCGAGGGTGGGAAGGGAAGCGAGGGGAGGGTTTGCCTGCGTCTTGCTTGCTCTGGCATATCTATTTATAGTCTGCGTGGTCATCTTGGTCTTGTTGTGCCCTAGTTTCTGGCGAATTATTAATATATATATATATATATATATATTAATTTATATATATATTTATAGATCAGTGGCTCTTAACCTTTTTGGAGGTACAGAACCCCGCCACTTTCATATGCGCATTCACCGAACCCTTCTGAATAGGAAAATAAAATATGATTTTTTGTTCTGATTTTGTTTTTACCTCCGCCGAACCCCTGAGACTGACTCACCGAACCCCTGGGGTTTTGATCGAACCCAGGTTAAGAACCATTGATATAGATATAAAATTCAAATATATCGCATCCTTCCGTCTTCGCGAGACGATGGAGTAGCAATGTAGTCTTACACTTTGACGAGTGGCTCGCTAGCACAATCCTAGAATGACAATCTATACTGCATTTCTCGTAGGAGAATATTGATTTCTGGTCAGATCTTGACTTCTTTTTGTTGCAAGGGCCTCATTTCGCGCATCTTCTGCCATTTTTACTCCTTCATACACTGTTGTTCGCCAGCTGGAACGTTGTTCGGCAATGAACTCACATTCGTTGTTTTCAATATTGGCTTCCCTCATGCTTCTTTTGCAAACGCCCATAAATCTCAGGCGTGGCCGTCCAATAGGTCTTGTCCCTCCTGCCAACTCTCCATACAGCAGCATCTTTTGTGCCAGCTGTTACCCAATACAGCAGATCCCCACCCTCGACGCAATCAGTGGACCCAAGGGAATGACAATCGTCAATACAGCTTGGCACTGACTGCGTCACCGGAGTTGCCGAAATGTCATTGCTAGCGGCGTCAGATCAACTTCGAGACTCCATCTCCGGATTTTACAGTTTGGGTTTACTCCTGCATTCTTACCCTAGCTTCCCGCATTGACTTAGTATATTTATATGAGCATATTTTCACCACTTTCCCGTTTTTTTCAACAATTTCGTTATTCGTAAATTTACATGTTAGCCATCTTGTTCTAATTCATATATATATACACTATAGAAATGAAAAGCCCATCATGAGACGCCCCCAAATGTTACATGGCCAAACCTTGTAAACCAAAGATGTTTGCGTGATGTTTGGTCAGAATCAGTTCCCTCCCATGGATGCAAGTGAAAGAAAAAAAGTTCAAGGAGAATTAATTGACATTTTTCGAACATGAAAGCAGATGTTTCATTCATGGCTTCTGTGTCTTCTTCTAATGCTGGCTTTTCTAATTCCCTGAACCATCCGCTTCCAACAAGGCTTCACTTCAACTTGTAGATTGTTCTGTGTCATGTTTACCCGGATCACAACGGGTAGCGTCTTCTAGTATACAGACTATGCTTTTCAAAGAGTGATCATTGGGGGGGGGGGAGGGGGGATAAGATTAGAAAAGGAAGTAGGGGCGGTGAAAAGGGGCGTGGGGTGGGGGCGGTTACGTGGTTAAAGAAACGTGATTACAAAAAGTGTCTTCTAGTATACAGACTATGCTTTTCAAAGAGTGATCATTGGGGGGGGGGGAGGGGGGATAAGATTAGAAAAGGAAGTAGGGTCGGTGAAAAGGGGCGTGGGGTGGGGGCTGTTACGTGTTTAAAGACACGTGATTACAAAAAGCCGCATGAGCGGATAATGTCCCTGCCAAGTTGGTGAAACAAGGAGGAGAAGCAATGATAAGTGCCCTATTCAATATTTGTAACAAAATATGGCTGACAGGGGAATGGCCCAAACCATGGACCCAGTCGCTCATCATCACCCTCCCCAAAAAATGTAACCTACAGCTATGCCAAAACTATCACACCATTAGTCTAATGAGCCATACAAGCAAGGTCATGCTGAAGGTCATATTGAACCGACTAAGACCATATGCCGACATACTCATTGCTGAAGAACAGGCGGGCTTCAGGCAAGGACAGGGCACTACTGAGCAGATTCTAAACCTCCGAATACTATGTGAGAAATATGCTCAACACCAAAAAAAACCTATACAACATCTTTGTGGACTTAACGAAAGCATTCGACGGGGTTTGGCATGCTGCTTTATTGGCCACCATGAGGCACTACAACATCAACACAACATAACTAGAATGATACGCAACCTCTATGATAAGGCCACCGGTGCAATCTTTGTCAATAACAACATCGTATAATGGTTCAAGACCATGGTTGGAGTACGACATGGCTGCCTGCTCTCCCCCACACTGTTCAACATGTTCCTAGAGAGAATTATGTCAAATGCTCTGGAAGCGCATGAAGGGACAGTCAGCATTGGTGGCAGAACAATCACCAACCTACGCTTTGCGAACGTCATAGGGAACGAAGAAGAGCTAGCCAACCTGGTGGTAAAGCGTCTCGACAAGACCTCGTCGTCCTACGGCATGCTAATCAGTGCCGAAAAGACAAAACTGATGACAAATAACACCACAGGCATCACCACTGAAATTAAGGTCGGGGAGGAAAGACTAGAGACTGTAGGCCGCTTCAAATACCTAGGAGCAATAGTCTCAGAAGAAGGCTCCAAGCCCGAATTGATGTCCAGGATTGCGCAGACTACAACAGCACTAAAGAGGCTCAAGAAAATATGGAATGACAAAAATATAGCCCCCAACACCAAAATCAGGCTGATGCGCTTATTATTCCTTTCCATTTTCCTGTATGCCTGCGAATCCTCGACATTAACAGCCGATCTTGAAAGAAAAATAAAGGCGATGGAGATGAGATGCTTCAGAAGCATTTTTGGCATCTGCTATAAGGACCATATCTCCAATGATACAGTGAAAGAAAGGGTTCGCCAGGCAATTGGGGAGTACGATGACCTACTGGTGACTGTGAAAAAACGCAAACTACAATGGTACGGCCACGTAACAAGGAAACAAGGGCTTGCCAAATAAATATTGCAGGGCACCACACGAGAAGGAAGAAGAAGAGGAAGACAAAGAAAAAGATGGGAGGATAACATCAAAGAGTGGACAGGGCTAACACTGGGCGATGTTGTGCGTAGTGCAGAAGATAGAGACGAATGGAGGAGGATATTTCACATGTCATCTGTGGCACCCCAACGGTCCAAAGACTAAGGGACATGATAATGATGATGATGATTAGTGTTTAATATTGCCACATGCTCGTCTTATTAACGAGGCAATATAAATGAATGTACCAGTAACGATGGCTGGTAGAACCGGGGGAACATAGCAGGTAAAATGGGGGGGGGGCAACATAGCAGGTACAAGAGTGGGGCATTATAGCTGGTACAATAGTGGGGACACACAGCTGGTACAAGAGTGGGGCAATATAACTGGTACAAGAGTGGGGCATTATAGCTGGGGTACAAGAGTGGGGCAACACAGCTGGTACAACAGTGGGGCAACACAGCTGGTACAAGAGTGAGGCGACATAACATGTAAAAGAGTGGGGCAACATAGCTGGTTTAAGAGTGGGGCAACATAGATGGTAGAAGGGTGGGGAAACAAAGCTGGTGGAAGAGTGGGGCAAAATAGCGGGAAGAAGAGTTGGGCAAGGCAGAAGTTCTCCAGCTCAAGGCTCCGTTCTAAATCCTTGGTCTCCATGTAGCAATAGGAAGATGACGTCATTATTATTCTTTTTAAAGACCTCCTTTTTCAAATCTATCGGAAACGGTTAGATTTAGATGAAAAGTGAGGGTGAATCTATCCAAAACAAAATGGTCCAAGATAAGATCACCAAAAATGTAATGAAATGTTACATATTCCCACACATGTAGATTATAAGTAATCTTTAAAGAAGTCGAAAAGGACGTTAAGAAAATAGCTCAAGATGTCAACCCGTCGTGCTCGGTGAATGAACTCGTTGACACAAATCTTGGCGTCGTGGATGTCCGTGTTCTGTCCCCCACACCAGATCCCGGCCTGCTGGGCGTCTGTACAGTTCTGGGGTATGTTGGTCACCAGCATGTGGTCACAGAACTTGAGGAGCAGCTCATTGCCCACGGTCTGCATGGACTTGTAGATGGTCAGCAGAGACTGGACGCTCATGTCTGATACATGGTAAGTTTTTTGAAAGTCGTACAGCTCTGTCTGGAAAAAAAAATGAAGGTGCGTCGTGAAGTTTGGTCAAGTGTGTCACCGAGTGTTACAATGGTGGTCCAATACTACATGTGTGGCCTAGTGTCACACGTTGACCAAGGGTTACAAGTGGGGTCAAGTGTAACAAGTGCAAGAGCTAAAGAATTTAGTCACAAATGTTATCGAAATGATAAACATAAAATGTTTGATAATATTCTTTCAATGATCTAACGTTGAGGGTCCTATTGAGTTGCTTCTTCCCTTAAATTTGAGAACCCTTGTGCAATTTTTTAATATATTTTTGGACTTAAATACAATAACGAAATGTTTAATGAACAATTAACGAACTGTGGAAAAGGTGGCTTCCTTGCGTCTTGCAATAATATATATATATATATAGTACTCATGTCAATACCGAATGAACTTTTTAAAGTTGTCATTTCTTTTCTCTAATATGTGTATTGTTTTACGTCGTTTAACAGTGTTTTGGAAAATGTAGTTTTGTGTGATAATGAACGCTTGGTGTTACAACTATGAGGACTTGTCTAGGCGAATGCCCAAGCAAAGACTGTGATGCTAACATACTCATACATTACTTGAATAAGGGAAATGATTCACTCACACATACAAATACCTGCACATTCAAACCTATAAATACCAAAATACAGTCGAACGCATTTATACACGGACAAAAAACAAACACAAAGGGTGTCGTGCCGAGGAAAATCGGCACCTGGGGCGAAGCCGGAAAATGACACCCCTCGATGTATAAAAGTGTCGCCCAGAGAGGACCAGTAAAATGTCGATTCTGTCACCCTTTAGATTTGTGAAGTAGGTCACATTGTATTGTTTAATTCACTATTAAGATCAAATCTAAAGACAATTTTGCCCCTCCTGATGTTGGCGCCCGAGATGAGTGGCCCCCTTCGCACTATACTGCACACACACACACACACGCACACACCCACACACACCCACACACACACACACATTTCGTAATAATACTTTCTAAAATGTTATGTCATCACACACACACACACAAAAATGTCAGTGACGTCATGTGCCACCATCACTACGTTAATCAATATTGGACCAGCCGGAAATTGCTCTCCAATTTGGACTGGCTCACACCTCACGCCATCACACCTCACGCCATCACGCTAGACACCTTCAGATTATCAGGGACAAGGTTTACAGCGGTTCTCTAAACTAGAAATCGAATGGCTCAGGTACAAAAAAGCTGCCTCGACCACTGACGAAAATTATAAGCTGCTAACGAAACGACTATCTATCTGGTCTGATCTAAGAAGTCCTTTAAATATTACCACACACCTATTTGCCCCACACTGTTTTAATACGATTAGGCTGTTAAATCTCGTACCCCACCCCTTCACACATACGTATACAATCACACACACACACACACAACATACACTTCACACGCACACTAAAAACCCTACCACATATACACATACACACACATACACACACACGGAGAGCCAAGCCAACTGTGGTTTTTCTTTGGACTGGAATCTGCCGGATCCGTGATCGTACACTTGACCCCAGGACCCAAGGGTCGATCACTTGTGGCTAACTATTGGGCAACTCGTTTTAATTATCTTAAATTCGTTGAAGATAATTAATCAAGTTAATGGATTAAAAGTGTGTCTCAACTCAATCACATGGCTCCTGTTGTTGACATTGTAGTGTGGCGTGAGGGGGTTGTTAAGCAGGGGTGGATCAAGTGAGGGGGTTGTTAGGCAGGGGTGGATCAAGTGAGGGGGTTGTTAAGCAGGGGTGGATCAAGTGAGGGGGTTGTTAGGCAGGGGTGGATCAAGTTGGGTGAGGAGTTCGTGGGTGTGATTAGATGATAGGAGGGTTGTAGCTATGGACTACATATGGACCTATTCGTTTATCACGTGACTGTCTAAGGTCTTTTTTTCGTGTATCATTGGTATATCATGTGTATAAAAATTAGAGAGAATGTGTTTCTTTGTAGGTTTGCTCCACAAAGCCTTTTACATGGATTGATGGATCTTGACCAAACTTGGAACATATATCCATCATTATCCAAAAGGAACTCTTGGGGGGTTTTGAACTTTTTATAACATTCTGTTTGGGGTCGGGATCCACGAGTTTGAGGAGGATATTAAAAATAATCTAGAATATGCCAGAAGGATCTATATACCTGTAGTTCAAAGGGATATAAAATGTGATCTAAACATATTGAAATGTCTGTTTAGTTCTATTCAGTTCTAGACTTTCCTGGGGATTGCTCTAAACATATTGAAATGTCTGTTTAGTTCTATTCAGTTCTAGACTTTCCTGGGGATTGCTCTAAACATATTGAAATGTCTGTTTAGTTCTATTCAGCTCTAGACTTTCCTGGGGATTGCTCTAAACATATTGAAATGTCTGTTTAGTTCTATTCAGCTCTAGACTTTCCTGGGGATTGCTCTAAACATATTGAAATGTCTGTTTAGTTCTATTCAGCTCTAGACTTTCCTGGGGATTGCTCTAAACATATTGAAATGCCAGTTTATTTCTATTCAGTTCTAGACTTTCCTGGGGATTGCTCTAAACATATTGAAATGCCAGTTTATTTCTATTCAGTTCTAGACTTTCCTGGGGATTGCTCTAAACATATGGAAATGTCTATTTAGTTCTATTCAGCTCTAGACTTTCCCGGGGATTGCTCTAAACATATTGAAATGTCTGTTTAGTTCTATTCAGCTCTAGACTTTCCTGGGGATTGCTCTAAACATATTGAAATGTCTGTTTAGTTCTATTCAGCTCTAGACTTTCCTGGGGATTGCTCTAAACATATTGAAATGCCAGTTTATTTCTATTCAGTTCTAGACTTTCCTGGGGATTGCTCTAAACATATTGAAATGCCAGTTTATTTCTATTCAGTTCTAGACTTTCCTGGGGATTGCTCTAAACATATGGAAATGTCTATTTAGTTCTATTCAGCTCTAGACTTTCCCGGGGATTGCTCTAAACATATTGAAATGTCTGTTTAGTTCTATTCAGCTCTAGACTTTCCTGGGGATTGCTCTAAACATATTGAAATGTCTGTTTAGTTCTATTCAGCTCTAGACTTTCCTGGGGATTGCTCTAAACATATTGAAATGTCTGTTTAGTTCTATTCAGTTCTAGACTTTCCTAGGTATTGCTCTAAACATATTGAAATGCCAGTTTAGTTCTATTCAGCTCTAGACTTTCCTGGGGATTGCTCTAAACATATTGAAATGTCTGTTTAGTTCTATTCAGCTCTAGACTTTCCTGGGGATTGCTCTAAACATATTGAAATGCCAGTTTAGTTATATTCAGTTCTAGACTTTCCTGGGGATTGCTCTAAACATATTGAAATGCCAGTTTAGTTCTATTCAGTTCTAGACTTTCCTGGGGATTGCTCTAAACATATTGAAATGCCAGTTTAGTTCTATTCAGTTCTAGACTTTCCTGGAGATTACTCTAAACATATTGAAATGCCAGTTTAGTTCTATTCAGTTCTAGACTTTCCTGGGGATTGCTCTAAACATATTGAAATGCCAGTTTAGTTCTATTCAGTTCTAGACTTTCCTGGGGATTCCTCTGAACATATCCTTCATAACCCTACCGGGAACAAAACAACACTGGGAAAATGATCCCACCGAGGAATAGGATTCTAATGGAGAAGAGGACTCCAGCGGGAAACGGAATACCACAGGAAAACCACAGAGAACGTAACACATTTTAGTGACACAAAGTTGGGGTTTCGAAAACAAATAAACTGTCAACTTTGAATGCCCCCCCTCCCCCCCCCAAAAAAAAAAGAAAGCGGGTTGGGGGTTGCAAATAACCTAAAAAATTCAGAGGACCCCCAAAGGTCACTCTACCACCTTAACCCTAACCCTGAACCTGACCCTGACCCTAACCCTAAACCTAAACGGATGTCACTATAACTGCTCGATGTTTAAATTCATTGATTTCTTGAAGAGCTTCTTACGGACGAAACGAAACATTTTGCTCCAGTGCACTTGCAAGCACCAGAGACAGCAGTGTACATACCCAGTTGGTCACCCCATTCCTATTGCTGTCGGTCAAGTTGATGAAGTATTGGTGGTAGTTCATATGGGCGCCCGTCACTCGGTCGTACTCCACGAGCCTGATCCCGGGATTGTGTGGGGCGCCTGTCTCAGTTGGGATGCGGTAGCGCCATGGTGTAATCGAGGGCGCAATAAAAATCGCAGACGCCCCCGTGCCTGTAAATGAATTTCATCTCTTGAGATGAGATGTGCATTGGCGGAGCTCAGATCATGTGGTAGGATAATCTCACATCTACACAAAGCTACCTACGCGTTTCTGACCATGGTCATCTACACCAGGGGTGGGAAAACTTTTTTATGGGGAGGCCCACATTGACAAATGTAAAGCTATTGGGGGGGGGTGGCGCATGTATATAGTGTCCAATATTTACATCGCGATAAACATTTCTCTATATTAAAATCTTCAAATTCACATTTTAGCATTACATGACAAAAATCAAGGACTATTTAACAAATACAAAATTAGAAAGAATTTTGATCACAAATGTAAAAACAATCATCACGGTACATGAAATTCTGTAAAATTTAACAAAATAACTTAAAAAACAAAGTAATTTTAATTTTTTTTTTAATGCTTTCGAGGGCCGCATAATAGCAGTTGCTGGGCCGCATGCTGCCCGCGGTTCGTAGTTTGCCCACCCCTGATCTACACAATGGTAAACATTCTCTACGTTACCTCAGTTCAACTTTATAACAAAGTGCCAGAGTTACACAGCATCATTAAATAAGCAGGTTTTATTTATCGATAGCTCCCAGACTTGTTACATTCGGTCAGCTCTTCTCTGAAGCCCAGCGGAACTTTCCAAATAATCTCACCCGCTGGCCGGCCTGTAAGCTCCAAAAGGGAAGACATCAGTATCATTGCTCTTATCATGGCTCTCAACCTTGCTAATGCCACGACCCTTTAATACAGTCCCTCATGTTTCCGTTGAAATATTACCTGTTTCTCCATCTATCATCAAAACACCACCTTTAGTTCTACCCACCATCTCTACCGACCATCAATCATCTTCTTTAGTTCTACCCACCATCTCTACCGACCATCAATCATCTCCTTTAGTTCTACCCACCATCAAAACAACACCTTTAGTTCTACCCATACAAAAATCACCTTTGTTTCAACCCACCATCAGAACATCCCCTTTAGTTGTTGCCATCACCAAAACATCAACGTTAGTTCTTAACACCATTAAAACATCAAATTTTGTTCTCCTCATCATTAAAACATCACCATTAGTTCTACCCACCATCAAAATATCACCTTTAGTTCTACCCACCATCAGACTATCACCTTTAGTTCTACCCACCATCAGACTATCACCTTTAGTTCTACCCACCATCAAAATATCACCTTTAGTTCTACCCACCATCAAAACATCACCATTAGTTCTACCCACCATCAGAATATCACTTTTAGTTCTACCCACCATCAGACTATCACCTTTAGTTCTACCCACCATCAGTCTATCACCTTTAGTTCTACCCACCATCAGACTATCACCTTTAGTTCTACCCACCATCAGACTATCACCTTTAGTTCTACCCACCATCAGACTATCACTTTTAGTTCTACCCACCATCAGACTATCACCTTTAGTTCTACCCACCATCAGAATATCACTTTTAGTTCTACCCACCATCAGACTATCACCTTTAGTTCTACCCACCATCAGACTATCACCTTTAGTTCTACCCACCATCATACTATCACCTTTAGCTCTACCCACCATCAAACTATCACCTTTAGTTCTACCCACCATCAGACTATCACCTTTAGTTCTACCCACCATCAGACTATCACCTTTAGTTCTACCCACCATCAGACTATCAACTATCACCTTTAGCTCTACCCACCATCAAACTATCACCTTTAGTTCTACCCACCATCAGACTATCACCTTTAGTTCTACCCACCATCAGACTATCACCTTTAGTTCTACCCACCATCAGACTATCACCTTTAGTTCTACCCACCATCAGACTATCACCTTTAGTTCTACCCACCATCAGACTATCACCTTTAGTTCTACCCACCATCAGACTATCACCTTTAGTTCTACCCACCATCAGACTATCACCTTTAGTTCTACCCACCATCAGACTATCACCTTTAGTTCTACCCACCATTGGATCTCTGTAGAACTCTAAAGGTGTCGGCGTGGTCATGTCCATAATGATGCGCTATAATGATGTCCGAGTATTGCGTCATGAGGTCAACATAGGGCTGATGGTATCTGGGCTGGAACCAGTCCACGAGAGATGGTACGATAAATGTTGGAGAGATGTGTCCCGTGATCAGCACCTGGAAGATTTACAAAAAATTAATTAACAAAACATAGGCGTAAGCAACGGGGCACGTCCAGTGCCAGGAATCAGTAGGCTACTTACTCTGGTCAGTTTGTTTGGTACCTTATCACGTTATCACGTTATCACGTCAAAAATGCAAAGGCCTGGAAGATTTAGTCAAAGAAGGAAAACATTTTTTGAATTCAATTTCTTTTACCCCAATACTCCCTCCCTACCCCACTCCAACACACACACACCTCACGTTTTAACAAGCAATCACCTTTTCTCCCCTTGACCTAGATGTACTGAGTACACTGTCGATCCACTTGAACTGGTCAGCAGGATCCGTCTGGTTGGCAGTGACCTCGTCGCCCTGCATGTACAGTACAGTGTTGAGGGCCAGCAGCCGAAGGTTGGGTCTGATCAGGGCACTGTAATAGCCGCCTGGGTCAGATGGGAGGATAGATGTAAGTGGGAGGTCAATGATCAGCCATTGAGGGACATCAATTGTGTGGATATACAGTTAAGTGATACACCAGCACATCAGTTGTGTGGATAGACACTTAAGTGATATATCAGCACATCAATTGTGTGAATTGACAGTGATAAATCAAATGGGTGATAGAAGGTCACGTGATTTATATCTAGGATTGTAAAAAATCATGGTTTCTCAAATTTTGTGACAACTTGCTCTCAATTTTTACCCTTAGAATTTCCTCAAATGTTCAGTCTTCTGTAAATGGTTAAGTCTACATGAATCATGGCGTCTATGTGGAAATAGGCTCGGCAAAAAATAAAACAGGAAAATTGTGCTTGTGAAAAAACTCAAATTTTTAATTTTTATCTAGAGCAGGGGTCTCCAAACTTTTCAGCCCGAAGGCCGCATTAACTATAAAACAGCAGTTCGGGGGCCGACTACACACTCGAGGTCAAAATAAAAAAGAATCAAAACATTGATGTTGTTTTTAATTATTTATGTAATATTATTTAGTTCAGTTATTATTTAATAAGACATTGATACACGACACGTCAACACCTGTATTAGTGGGAATGGTGAAATTGTTTCCTGGATGCCAAAATAGCAGTGATTAGCAGACATTTCTGGATTTAGATTTGATGTCCCCAACATCAACAGTGACCTGAGATGATAATCAGACAAATTTGTTCTCAAATTAATTGTTCTTCATTTATTTCGTTCTTGAAAATGTTTGTTCACACAGGCATGTTGTTCCAAAGATTGAAAGGTACATTGATGCATATGTTTTGAAATTAGGAAAGTCTTCTTTTGGCGAAAACTAGTTAAAAACCCACCGGTCCTTCTTTTAACTTGTCCCAAGGAGGTCATTTGCTTGCAACTCAATGACCCCCAGGTGCAGTTCATCTGGGCGACTGGCCACATCTGCTTCAAAAGGGTTTTGAAAAAGTCTCACTCCTTCTGCCTTTAAATCCAAGTCAGAAAACCGCTGTTGCCACTGCAGCTGGGGGTCTTTGATGATCTCCCATAAAAATGACGTGGGGAACTCCGCTGTTGCGTCAGCCATGAAGACCGTCCACTGCTGAAAGTGTGTCAAGTTGTTGGCCTGTACTAGTTCCAAAAAACAAGACGAGTTTGGATCTGAAGGCCTTTAGAAAGGTGTATAGATCAGAAACTAGATTTTCCTCTCCTTGTAGTTTTAGGTTCAGAAACTTTAAATGACTAGTTATGTCTGCATCATAGACGAATTTCCATACCCACTCTTCATCAGACACTAATGGCTGTGGCTTGCCTTTACTTTCTAGGAAGTCACCTATTTCCTTTCTTAACTTAAATACTCTGCTCAGAACTTTCTCACAACTTAGCCATCTTATTGCTGTGTAATATGGTAAATCTTCCGATTATGTGTCTGTTCATTTTGACATGTCTCTGAACTGTCTATGGTTGAGCCCATGTGACCTTATTAAATTAACCCTCTTTACCACAGGATTCAGTACGCTGCTAATGTCCACATATTTTTCAGACAAAGCTTTCTGCTGAGTAATACAGTGCAGGAACATTGGTTGCAGAATTTTTTCTCATTACACATCTGCTTCACTTGTCCAAAAAAGCCTTTCTTTATGCCAATCATTTTTTTCTTCCATCAACAGTCAGGCAACTGAGGTTAGTCCAGTCCAAGTTATAATCATAATTTTTTTTTTCAACTCATTGAATATATCCTCTCTGGTAACAGTGTCGTACATGATATGTAGGGAAGCCAGCTCTTGTTTTATTTTCAAGTCTTCATCCGGACCTCTAACGAACACAAGCAGTTGAGAGGTGGAACAGCTGTCCAGCGATTCATCCATTGCAATTAAAAATTGGCGAAACTTGCTTGCATTTTTCGCTATTTGAATCACAATGTTTTCACCCATGTCTGCAACACGGTGGGCAAAGCTCCGCTACTGGATGGCGTCATATCATCTCATTGACTGTAGAAAAACTAAGCAGCGAATAAAGTTTTGCCAAGTCATGAACGGTTGGAAAACATAACGCACTACTGCGTGCCTCTAATTCGGCAAAAACATAACGTCCAGTCAGCGGCGTCTGATCTTGGCAGGATACACGTACATTTCAGTAATTTTTTTCCGTTGACAAAAGCGGCCCGCGGGCCGTAGTTTGGAGTCCCCTGATCTAGAGCATCGCTTCTCAACCCGCGGGTCGCCACCAATGTTCCCTCTAGGGTATTTTGGTTCGTGTGCAAAATTATACAGTTGTGAGCAAAGTTTTACAGCATCAATTTTTTTGTGTGCAAAATTTTACAGCCCACTAACACAAACACACACATACATGGAAATTTGCTTTGCGGTACTCAAAACTGCTGCGCGGCGTCTGTGAGATAGGAGCGCAGCCGCGCAGCTTAAAGGGAACATTGGTCGCCACCCCTTTTGGGGTCAAACGAGCCTTTCCCATGGGTCGCCTAAGACCAGCGGTAAACACATTTACTCTACAGTTATGAAGTAGAAACGAAAATAAGTTTGTGGTTGTTGAGTCGCCATAAAATGGAGAACTGTTTTAAAGGGTCGCGGCATTAGGAAGGTTGAGAACCACTAATCTAGAAAAATATAGACACAAGTCATGTAGAAGATCTTAAAAATAATTGACCAAATAAAGTTTGAACATTTTTCAGCGAGCTAAAGCCTTTAGAATGTGAAGACAATAGAAATGTCAGAGGTCAGAGGTCTAGGAGCTGATGTTAATTCACCTTTCTTGAAAAGCTCAATTTGTGCTGGGTCTTTGATCCATCCTCCCCACATCTCAGCCATGCGACTGTACAAGTCGATGTCACTTCCGGCCTGATCGCTGGGGTAGTAGTCATGGTTACCAAGGCAAGGGTAGAAGGGGGTGCCGAGAAAGCTGCTGTTGAGAGCCCTTGTAACGTTATCAAGCACGCCCAGGTTGGTGTCGAGTGACGTATGAGCATCGTCTATGTGGGCCATGTTGTCTCTGGTGAGTGGGGATGGGGTGGAATATTGCTGTCATTTGAGGCTATATTGACTGATAGAGTGGTCATTTGTAGCTACACTGACTGATAGGGTTGTCAATTGTGGCTACATTGATTTATAGGGTGGTCAATTTTGGCTACACTGATTGATAGGGTGGTCAATTGTGGCTACACTGATTGATAGGGTGTTCAATTGTGGTTACATTGACTGATAAGAGTGATCAATTGTGGTTACATCGACTGATAAGAGTGGTCATTTGTGACTGCACTGACCTTTAGGGTGGTCAATTGTGACTACATTGACTGATAAGAGTGATCAATTGTGGCTACATTGACTGACAGAGTGGTCATTTGTGACTACATCGACTGATAATAGTGATCAATTGTGGCTACATCGATTGATAAGAGTGGTCATTTGTGGCTACACTGACTGAAAGGGTGATCATTTATGGCTACTTTGACTGATAAGAGTGATTAATTGTGGCTACATTGACTGACAGATTACTGGTCATTTGTGGCTACATCGATTGATAAGAGTCGTCCTTTGTGGCTACATTGACTGACAGATAACTGGTCATTTGTGGCTACATCGATTGATAAGAGTGGTCCTTTGTGGCTACATCGTTTGACAGAGTGGTCATTTGTGGCTAGATCGGTCGATAAGAGTTGTCCTTTGTGGCTACATTGACTGACAGATTTCTGGTCATTTGTGGCTACATCGATTGATAAGAGTTGTCCTTTGTGGCTACATTGACTGACAGATTACTGGTCATTTGTTGCTACATCGATTGATAAGAGTGGTCCTTTGTGGCTACATTGACTGACAGAGTGGTCATTTGTGCCTACACGAAAAAGACCTTTTAAAAAAATGTAGACTGTGAACAAATTAAACGTTTGTACCTAGAAGTTCGACCCTAGTTTTAGGAAGTAGGTCAGTGACAAAGTTTCGGATAAACATTTTTTTTCTCTCTAAAACAGATCAAAATGAAGACATGAATCAATAATCTGAACTATTTGAATTGTTTTAGGCTATTGTTTATAAATTAGTAAATTTTAAATGAAATGTTTAGTTTCTTTCTGACATTAGTGTATTAATTATGAAATAGACAAACTATATAATTAAGTATAAAATTATAAAATTCGATCTAACATTTATGCTGTCATAGGTGGCAGTTTACCCTGTCCAGATGATGAAATCGACATCGCTCTTTATTCTCGCCATGTTATCGATACTGTCCTGCACCAGAGCCCAGGGCGAGTCACACCAGTAGTCGCCATATTTCCCGGGGTGGGCCACCACGTCATTGCAGGACAGCTGACTTGTCCAGTAGGTCGGGTCGTAGTGGAAGTCGGTCACGTGCCAGAAGAAACCTGGGGGGTCACATTATCGAATCATTAGATTAAGTTTGACGTAGGTGGACCTAGTTGTTCTAACGTAAGAAGTTAAAGGTGGACCTAGTTGTTCTAACTTAAGAAGTTAAAGCAGGTGGACCTAGCTGTTCTACCTTTAGAAGTTAAAGCTGGACCTAGATATTTTAACTTTAGAAGTTAAAGGTGGACCTAGTTGCTCTAACTTTACAAGTTAAAGGTGGACCTATTTGTTCTATACATAATTTAAATAAATCAACCTTCTCGTGGTACACCTCCTATTGTGTAAAATTTTGACGATTAACTTTGGGGTCACAAGAGACAGACTACTGAAGGCAAGCTTCGTAAGGAAAACATTGCGAGATGCAACCAATTTTTAAAAGAAAGATGGGGAGAAAAGAAAAAGGAGAAAAGATGGAATGGAGATAAACGGAGTTTACTTGAGCAGGGGACGAGGTAACGGAGACAAATGCACGGGACAGAAATAAGAAAAAGAGATTAGCGAACGACATTCAACAGTAAAGGTTAGGGTCGATTATGTGAACACAACAAGTTAGCAATGTTCTACCCGATGGTTCTAAACATTGGTTCTCAAATTAAAGGGCAGGGTCGATTATGTGAACGCAACAAGTAAGCAATGCTCTGCCCCGATGGTTCTAAACAGTGGTTCTCAAATTAAAGGGTGGGGTCGATTATGTGAACGAAACAAGTTAGCTATGTTCCACCTGATGTTCTAAACAGTGGTTCGCAAATCGATGTTCAAACATCAATCAGGTTGATGGAATGCGCATTGATTTTTCTGTTTTTTCTATCTTATGTTTTTTTTTTCTGTTTTATTCGGTTTTTTTTCCACCTTATTACTTTTTCTATCTTATTAGGTTTTTTCTATCTTTTTAGTTTTATAATATCTTATTACTTATTTCTATCTTATTAGTTTTTCTATCTTATTAGACTAGTTCTTTTCTATATTATTAGTTTTTTCTCTTATTAGTTTGTTTTTATCTTATTAGTTGTTGTTTTTTCTATTGTTCTGGACAGCCACTTATTGCTGTGTCGTTTGTTGTCCGTGCAGCTATGTACGTCTAAGGGAAGCTATATGTATATGTGTGTAGCTATGTCTGTCTGTGCGTAGCCATATGTGTCTGAGTGAAGCTGTAAATTGTTAAAATAAATAATTCGTTTTTAAACATCGCTTTTAAAGCTTTTATACAGGCAGAGAGATGGAGAGACATCCTGCGATATTGCAAGAGACAGAAGGAGACAGACAGAGGGAGAGACAGACAGATGCAGAGACAGACAGATGGAGACACAGAAAGAGGGAGAGACAGACAGATGAAGAGACAGACAGATGGAGAGACAGAGGGAGAGGCAGACAGATGGAGAGACAGACAGTGGCAGAGACAGACAGATGGGTAGACAGACAGACGGAGAGACAGACAGAGAGAGACAGACAGATGGGTAGACAGACAGAGAGAGACAGACAGATGGGTAGACAGACAGATGGTGACACAGACAGATGGAGACATAGACAGATGGAGAGACAGACAGAGAGATATACGCGGTAAAATAAAGCGTACATGTGATGCAACGCTATCCCTGATTCGTTAATATCATAATGGGGTTCTGTGGTAACATTGTGAGACGCATTGATCTGACAAGCTTCTAGCAATTCGATATCAACAATTAAGTGGCATTCTTGGCCCTGATAAACTGGCTTTTTTTATGAACTGCTAGCAGCAGCAATGGGTTCGCTAACGGTGTATTCTGTCATTGTATCTGTTTCTTCACGTGAGTTGTTCATGGATATTGATTATAAAGCAGTTGCTCTCCGCCTACGTCGTGGCAGGAGCTGCTATGGAGTACGAGTTTATAACGGAGATATAAATAATGTTGCATAATTTATACTGAAGACATCTTGCTCCATCCTGTAAACTTAAATATTGGCTTTTACCTGTGTGTGACATTTAAAACTGACATTTTACCTCACATGACACGCGATTGTTACAGTCACCTCTGACATTTACCTCACTGAAATATTACATTAAGAAATGGCGTCAGTGGGACGTCGAGCTTGCGCTCTTCATGCCCTCCCCAAAACACCCCTCCCCAACCCGGTATCGGGCCGCGGAGCGGCACGTCGGGGATGTCCCTTTGTCAGGACGGCCCCCACGCTAGTCTGCTCGACCAGGGTCTCGGCCGGGGGCCATCCTAACCAAAAGACACCCGGTCGGTCCGACTCTGTGTTTGCACACAGTGCACACGATCGACTTTCTCAGGAGTCGGGATGGAAAAATTTACGTCCTAATATCTTCCCCCACCCATCCCGGGGAAGCGTTAGACGACCTATAAGAGGGATTCCACAGTGGGTTTCCACAACGCAACTAATTCGCGATGCAGCTGAGACGAAACGTTTGCCTTGGAGCAGCTTCTCAAGGCTGCGTAGTAAGAATCATCGGCCAGAGGTTACCACCTTCGACATTCGCCTCATATCCATTAACGGCAACTTGTAATCATGATCCCTACCCTGTCTCTGCCTATTTTTCCAGTTGGGAAATATCACAACTGGCAACCTTGTAGGAGCTGTTTTATGTACGGCAGGTACCGAGCACATCCCTTGTCTGCCCACGCAGGACGCGCCCAGTAGTTGTGTCCCCCGGGTAACGCCGAGGGGGGTCGGTGGCCGACGCCTCCTAATCGACAAGCCACCACAGACTTATCAACCAGAGCCGGGGGGGGGGGGGGCATTTCCCCCATTTACAATTGACATAGGTGTCTAAACAACCTCAAGCAGACTGATAAACCAATAAGAATTACCACTTTCATCTTGACCGTTATGAATTTTATGAGTCGAGTCTATTAAAGCAGACACAGAGTGCAATAAGACTTACCACTTTCAGCGTAGCAGCAATTGATAAAGAGTAGAGTAAACAATGGCAAGAACATCATTTCCGTTTTCAGTGAAACTGTTCAACTCCTCAGAATTCCAAATGTGAAACATAACATTTCAAGATAATGGTAATAGTGTATGTGTGTGTGACGTGTCCAGGTGGCTTCTCTCACGCTTATCTACAGCCTTACACCACTGTGCCCCTTATCGCGACCTGGGGATTGTGAAGCGTTGCAGCTACTGTGTCTTACCACCTTTTACGCACTGGCGTCTCTTGTAAGAAATTAATCTCCTATTTTAAATTTATGGCCCGTTCAAAACAGTGCATAACAAAGGGACGATACCACAGAGAAATACATTAACAAAAAATACGACAGCCAAAAACAGTACCAATTACAATGAATAAGATTTAATTCAGTAATAATACAATAACAAAACAAAAGAAATATAATTATAAATCATCAACTTGCAATATGGTAGATCTTGTACCGGTACACAGTCAAACACTTAGTACAATGTGTCAATGAATATTGATGAATGAAGAATGCGAATAAACACATATAAATACACAAAGAATGAAACCCGCCTCGTAAAGTTAATAATATCTATCTGAATCTCCGCCCCCGCCCCCCCCCCCCTCTGTGCCTATCAATCCTTTATATATGTGGGTCTACCGACGCGTAAGCNATATGGTAGATCTTGTACCGGTACACAGTCAAACACTTAGTACAATGTGTCAATGAATATTGATGAATGAAGAATGCGAATAAACACATATAAATACACAAAGAATGATACACGCCTCGTAAAGTTAATAATATCTATCTGAATCTCCGCCCCCGCCCCCCCCCCTCTGTGCCTATCAATCCTTTATATATGTGGGTCTACCGACGCGTAAGCCCTGCCTTCCAGAAGCTACTCAGCATTTGTTTACATGTCTAGAGCAAATCGAGATATTCGAAAAGATACTAGGAGACAGTCTAACCATGTTTAATTGGTAAACACGATAGATCAAAAGAACTAGCCCCGCCCATCTATGAAGCGAGTGTCTGCTTAAGAATCTAATTTAAGGTCAAGGAAAGTTCACGCGTTATACATAGCACCACCCATCCAACCGTTGAAAAGTTCACCTGCAGATGACCTATAGAAACCTTTACAACAGGATCCACGAGGCAATATTGGGTGACCAATAAAACCAGGATAGTTAAAACCAGGATATTTAAACCCAGGATATTTACAATCGCTTTGACACGATGAGTGTCCAAAAGTAAACAATTGTTTTGTGGTTACTCAGAGAAATCTTCTGTATGGGCGGCGTTCTTCGTCAAACTCCTTTATGTTAGCTTTGATTTTGTTCGTGTGTTTCTTCCTGGTTAAATCTTCGGAAGGCTAAGTGAACCACTTCCGTCATCAAATCGAGCTCAAACTTGGCATGGCACAAATAATCGATGGCAATGACAACACGTTCTTTCAAATAATAAGCCTCGCCACAACCCCCCCCCCCAAATATTGTTTTTCCTGTTTTTTATCATTGGTGTGGAAAGTTAATGATTTGATTGATGGCTGCGTAGTTTTAAACTTGGCATGGCACAAATAATCGATGGCAATGACAACACGTTCTTTCAAATAATAAGCCTCGCCACAACCCCCCCCCCCCAAATATTGTTTTTCCTGTTTTTTATCATTGGTGTGGAAAGTTAATGATTTGATTGATGGCTGCGTAGTTTGGTGTGCATAGTAATATTGTAGATGTTGTTATGTCATTTGTATTTGTGGCGTTTTTTGGGGGGGGGGCATGTAATACAAATTTTAAAAACTTATTTTTGAAGAGGTAAATGAAGTAAATATGAAACACATGTTTTCGATAAAAATGTACCCATTTATATACCTACTTCTTAATAAATGACACACAATGTTGTTTTATTATTCATGTTTTAAAGTTAAATCCTGACTGCGGATTTAGCTTCTTTCGTAAATTTTTATACATTTTATACATAAATTTATACATTTATATATATTTATTATAAATGTCTTGTGTTCAAATTGTTTTATTTATGTGCTAAAATGTATAATGCAATAACATTTTTTTTTTATTTATTTGGATCAATAAAAGAATCTTATCTTATATTATCTTATCTTAATAGGCTACTCCAAAAGAAACTTAAAATGTTACCACATACTAAAATGCGTGAGATCTCGTTGATACTTCTGATAGATCGTTAATATGCCCGAGATCTCGTTAACACTTCTGAAATCTCGTTAATATGTCCGAGAACTCGAAAATACTTCTGAGATCTCATTAATATGACTGAGATCTCGTTGAAACATGTCAGATCTCGTTAATACGTCTCAGATCTGAGATCTCGTTGAAACATGTCAGATCTCGTTAATACGTCTCAGATCTCATTACAACTTCTGAGATCTTGTTCAAGCGTCAAACGAGCATCATCTGTTTGTTAATCAACCTCACCAACTTTCAATACAATGTCTATATTTAGTTGCCATTAAGGAGTAAAGTTGTCTTTTTTCCTAGTATTATTTGTTAGGTAATCTAGCACTTGAACGTCGGCCAAGAAAAAATCCAGCTGTTCCGGTTGGAAAGGCTATTTAAACAACTATTCTTACATTGGAGTCTGTTAATATTATTGGTTCCGTATAGAGGCTATAAAGTTATATAGCACAACACTAATCGATTTAGATAATTATTACTGCCAAGCTACGAAGAAAAAGAGACTACAATTATTATTTTTTTTGGATCCAGATGACGCGGATGTCCACACACAGAATGTGGAAAACGTGAATGCTCGAAAAGCGTCAACTGAAAAGACAGTTTGGCACAAGAAGAACTCCGGTGATCTTTCCCCTTCATATTGACCTGGATTCATGTACTACAACCGTTTTCGTGGAAATATTTTTTTTTAACTTCATTGTCAACTTGGGGGAGAACTATGCATAATTCTATTTTCACAAATTATCTTCTATTTCAAAAGAATTGTTATAGTTTTTCTATTGTAAAAAAATTGTCTATTTTTATGGGAATGAATGTGTGCAACCAATGTCATTAAAAATAATATAAGAATAGTTGTTTAAATAGCCCGTTCAACCGGAACAGCTGGATTTTTTCTTGGACGACGCTCAAGTGGTAGAATACCAGCTGTTAAAGTTTGGATCAACCTGAAAATACCCTCCAGTACGATCATAAAATCTTCTGACATGAAAGTACAAAAAGTACGCCCCTGTTGAAAGTACCATGATAAAATAAAGTCTTCCACAAAACGAAAACAAACAAACAAATAAAAGGAAACAAGTGACGTGTTTGTCTCTTTGTGGCCACATAACTGTCTCAGTATAAGTCTAATGGGAGTCGCTTAGTCACTTCCTTGTTTGGTCACGTGATGAGAGTAAGCCATCACTAGGCTGCTACACACAACAAAACATAACAGCTGATCTGCCATTAATTTTTAAGAAAAATTTTCGTCTTCATCAGTGCTTCCCCAATGTCATGTAACTTAAAAATTTTACTTTTCAAAATATTCTGGAATACACGTGTTTTTTAAATGAAATACATAGGCCTAAATGTGACAATAAATTAGAGACCGACCGATAGTGATTTTCTGATTTCGGCCGAAGCCGAAAATAGGCCGAAAAGTTAAAATGACTTTCGGCCGAAACCGAAAAAGGCCGACAGTTTAAAAATGATTTTCGGCCGAAACCGAAAAAAAGGCCGAAAGTTAAAAAGGAATTTAGGCCGAAACCGAAGCCGAAACCGAAGCCGAAACCGAAAATGAAATATTAAGATATTTTGAAATTTGTTCCCTCATACATTCTGCATACATCGAAAATGATGTGGGAAAGTATAAATATGTACATTCTTTTTATAAAATATGAGATAGTCGTGAATATAAATAAAGAAACATCTGATAAAGCGTCTCAAACTCGCGGCCCGCGAGCCATTTGTGACCTGCAAGACGATATTTTGCGGCCCGCTACATGACAGAAAAGTTTAGTGTAAATGCGCCGGCCCGTTTCCCCCATTCTCATATCTATAACGTGACTCTCCGCGACGGTTTCAGTCGAATCTCACNCCCATTTCTTGAGAACAATTTTTTTTTGTTATTAATAAAGGTTTAGCAGATTGTAACAGTTGCATTTTAATGAATTTGTAATCAATTTTTTGTGGAATTCTTGATGCGGCCCAGTCTCACTCAGAATATACCTCATGCGGCCCTCCGATGATTTGAGTTTGAGACCCTTGATCTAATGAATACTTTGGATTTTACCATTTTAATATAAAAGTAATTTAAATTGCATTACAATTTTTTTTTTTAAATTAGTATGGTAGGAGAAAATTTAGCAACAATTGGGTGAGGGGCCGGGGTGGGGTTTAATGCAAAATATTTATTTTTTTAAACCGGGTCTCTAAAAATTGTGGTTCTAAAAGATCGCTTAATTTGTTTTTAAAGATCGTTTAGTTAGTTGTTATTGATCGGGTAGTTTGTTCTTAAAGATCGGTGAGTTTGTTCATAAAGATCGCTTAATTTGTTGTTAAGATCGCTTAGTTTGTTGTTAAAGAGCGCGTAGTTTGTTGTTAAAGATCGTTTAGTTTGTTGTTAAAGATCGTCAAGTTTTTGTTAATTATCGCTTTATTTGTTCTTAAAGATCGTTTCGTTTGTTCATTAGATCATTTAGTTTGTTGTTAAAGTTCGCTTAGTTTGTTGTTAAAGATCGCTTAGTTTTTTCATAAAGATCTCTTAGTTTGTTCTTAAAGATCATTGATTGCGTTCCTTAAGATCGATTAGTTTGTTCCTAAAGACCATTTAGTTTTCTGTTAAAGATCGCTTAGTTTATTATTATAAATCATTTAGTTTACTATTAAAGATCATTTGTTTTGTTCTTAAAGATCATTTAGTTCAGTCTTAAAAATCGTTTACTTTATTCTTTAAGATCGTTTAGTTTGTTATTAAAGATCTCTAAGATTGTTATTAAAGATCGTTTAGTTTGTTCTTAAAGATCGCTTAGTTTGATGTTAAAGATTATCCAGTTCTTGTTAATGATCGCTTTATTTTTTCTTAAAGATCGCTTAGTTTGTTCATACAGATCGCTTAGTTTGTTGTTAAAGTTCGCTTAGTTTGTTGTTAAAGATCGCTTAGTTTTTTCATAAAGATCGGTTAGTTTTTTCATAAAGATCGCTTAGTTTGTTCTTAAAGATAATTGATTTTGTTCCTTAAGATCGATTAGTTTGTTCATAAAGATCGCTAAGTTCGTTCTTAAAGATCATTTGTTTTGTTCTTAAAGATCATTAAGTTCATTCTTAAAAATCGCTTAGTTCGTTTTAAATATCGTTTAGTTTGTTATTAAAGATCACTTTATTTGTTTTTAAAGATCGTTTAGTTTGTTTTATAAGCAAAAAAACTAAGCGACCTTTATGAAAAAACTAACCGAACTTCAACAAAAAAATAAGCGATCTTTAACAACAAACTAAGCGATCTGTATGAACAAACTAAATTATATTTAAGAACAAACTGAATGATCTTTAAGAACAAATAAGTGATATTTAAGAACAAAATCAATGATCTTTAAGAACAAACTAAATAATCTTTTAATAACACAAACTAAGCGATCTTTAAGAAAATAATAAACGATCTTTTTTGAACAAACTAACTGATCTTTAATAACAAACTAAAAGATCTTTAAACAAAACTAAGCGATCTTTAAGAACAAACTACACTATCTTTAACAAGAAGATGTTATATTAGATGTTTATTTATTAATATTCACGATTATCTCATTTTTTATAAAAAGAATGTAAATATTTATACTTTCTCCCATCAATTTCGATGTATGCAGAATGTATGCGGGAACGAATTTCAAATTATCTAAATATTAATTTCTTTTTCGGTTTCGGTTTCGGGTTCGGCTTCGGTTTCGGCTGTCAGTTTTGGCCAAAATTCATTTTTAACTTTCGGCCTTTTTCAGTTTCGGCCGAAAGTCATTTTAAACTTTCGGCCTATTTTCGGTTTCAACTGAAAGTCATTTTAAACTTTCGGCCTATTTTCTGCTTCGGCCGAAATCAGAAAATCACTTTCGGTCGGTCTCTACTATTCATATTTATCGCCCCGTAGTTGATTTTTAGGAGACATTTATTTATTTATTTATATGGGAGAAAAGTTGAGAAAAAAAGAGGAGATTTTCAAAAGATAGAGACAGACTTGTCGTTGAATTGGTTTGAAAATATAAATCAGGATTATATTTTACCTAGGATCAATCAATAACAGTTTCGTGATTATTGACATGACAGTGCCGTGATTATTGACATGATAGTGTCTTGATGATTGGGATGATTTGAGCTTCATGCTTGCCTGAGCTTAAACTAATGAAAAACGAGATTCGACACACAGATATAACCGTCATATATAAATGAAATGAAAGTTTGAATAGAAACGTCTTAGCTTTACATAGATGACATCAATGTTGACTAGAAACGTCATTGCTCCTCATGGCCGACATAGCCTATTAAATTCATTGAAGCATACGCGGCACCATAAAAGCCTTTTAATCCAACACTTACAATTTACAGGGCAGGCGAAATCAGGGAAATTATTTTACAGTATCTTCATTTGCGACAGACATCCATTTTAAAAAAATGAATGTAAACATTTTTTTTTTAACTTTCTAAAAAATGACGCGTTTAAACTCACCAAAAAGTTGAAAATAATTTAATACTTCTTAAAATGGATTACGCAAAAAAAAAAAAAGATTTGGCAGAAAAGTATATGAGCCCTAAATTTATCAAAGGATTTGACTTGAATGTCTTCGCGAAACTTAAATGTTTTATTTTTCATTATTTTAAAATATATATATAGTCTGCACAGACGTTCTCTGGACGAAGCAGCCGCGATGAACGACGATCAACTGAACGATAGCGTCACGTGTGTCATCAAAACAATTCAGCTTTACAGGCAAAAAAGAAGAAGATGGAAATACGAGTAGAGAGAACGTATTTTATTTCACTGACAGTAAATAACGATATTTCATTTAGATCCATGCAAGGGTGTAAGTGGGACGATTGAAATATCGGCGTTATTTCCTGTCGGTAAAATACATGAGCTCCACGATCAATGATATTCATTATTCTCAAGAGTTCTCGTTGTAAATGCCATACTGCACCGATTTCACCAGGTCCAACAATGTTATGCGACCTACTTCCACCTAGCGGCTTTGAATGAAACTACCAAGCTGTGACTGTTGATGTTTGCCGGCAAAAAAGGGTGTAGGGCCACCAGCCCCCCCCCCCAACACCCTCTTTAAAGGACGCCAGAATACACGTAATGTGTATGCAAAATATTTGTATTAATATAAACTTTTGGGGGAAGAAATCGCCTAAATTCGGGCCTTGCCCAGTGAGAAGCTTTCACTTGCCGTTGCCCTGGAGTCATGGAATGGTAGGTCAGATGGGCAAGGTGGTGCAGATGAGAAAGTTGCGACAGATGAGCAAGGAAGGGCAGATGGGTAATGTGGGGCAGATGGGTAAGGTGGGGCAGATGGGTAAGGTGAGGCAGATGGGTAAGGTGGGGCAGATGCCATTCCACCCCGTCTACCCATTCCACCCCGTCTACCCATTCCACCCCGAGATGGGTAAGGTGGGGCAGATGGGTAAGGTGGGGCAGATGGGTAAGGTGGGGCAGATGGGTAAGGTGGGGCAGATGGACTAGTTGGAGAACATCGCAATCATTGATCACTTAAGAAAAAATATAACAATTTTTTTTTTTTAAATTCAACTTGTTTAATAAATGCATTATTGTAAAGCAATCACTCCACACATCCAAAGCTATTCAAGGCTTCAACATTCCCAAACAACAATTTATGTGGTAGATTATCTTTGAAAATGAAAGTAAATTTGTCCATTGATTGATCTTGACAAGAGTGCGAGTCAACGACCAATATGGTTTTAAGTGATATATAATTAGTGATACATATTTTAAAGAGCCACAAGTTAATGAAACTGTATTTATAAACAAAATTAGTATATTTTCTTTGTAGATATGTTCATGACTGAGGTGGATGTCAGCTCAAAAATTGAATTAGTTCATGTCAAATTATAGGTAGCCCATCATCTGTATGATACATATATCATATTTAAAGTAAAATCAATAAACATGATACGTTAAGATTTTATTGAGCCAAGTTAATAGAAGTGTGTTGAATTCATCGTACATATTCAGGATATGGATAAATATTCTGCTTATGATAATTTTTTAAACAAGAACAAAAGGTCAGAAGTTATGATTCATTTCTTTAGTGCTTAACCCAGCCGTCATGTGTCGTAAATCCTCACTCCTATTTGAATAATATTGACACCAAGAGTAATTATTTCATCAGCTAGGGGAAGCACGCTGGTTCCATCTAAAAAAAACTAATTAAACAAATGAAACGTGTTTATCTTTTGAACAAAATGTTTAAATACAGCGGTGGCTATATATCAATAACAAATACATTGGGTGAAATTATTAATAACAGGGTTGTCGTTAAATGAAACAGTAAACTCATTAGATGGATTTCTTGGTGGGATTTTTACAAAATAGAATTACTCTTCAATGACATTTAAACACTGATACGAGCACGGCTATGAGCACCGCTATGAGCACTGGTATGAGCACTGCCCTGAGCACTCATATGAGCACCGCTATGAGCACTGGCATGAGCACTCATATGAGCACCGCTATGAGCACATATAAAAGCACTCATATGAACACTGATAAGAGCACTGATAAGAACACTGATAAGAGCTATGATAAGAACACTGATTAGAGCACTAATATGAAAACACTGATAAGAGCACTGATAAGAGCACTGATATTAAGCGATATTTTGAAGTTCCCAGTGCTACTCAAGGCCCAACTCCCTTCCCCCCCCCCATCCCTTATGAACACATCTTTCCATTGTTTCAAGTTGAACTACAACACGAGTTCATCTGTCATGGGTTCTAATTGACGATATGTTTGAGATAAAGTTTTGATGGGGGTATAGGGTCAAGGTGGGTCAGGGGGACAAGATGGGGTATAGGGTCAAGCTGGGTCAGGGGGGCAAGATGGCGTATAGGGTCAAGGTGGGTCAGGGGGGCAAGATGGGGTATAGGGTCAAGGTGGGTCAGGGGGGCAAGATGGGGTATAGGGTCAAGGTGGGTCAGGGGGCAAGATGGGGTATAGGGTCAACGTAGGTCAGGTGGGCAAGATGGGGTATAGGGTCAAGGTGGGTCAGGGGGCAAGATGGGGTATAGGGTCAAGGTGGGTCAGGGGGGCAAGATGGGTCACGTACAAATAAATCATTCAGTACTTTTATAATTGTAACAACTTTTTTTTTCAATTCAAGTCGGCTGAATGACAACATTCTCAGTAGACCTAAAGGATAACAGAGTCTGAGTTGTTCAGCTTTGGACAGAATCAGATCAAATCATTGTATAAGCTAACAATAGTTCATTCAGATCAAAATAGTTTAGTCAGAAAAAAATACTTAAGTCAGATCAAAATATTATAGTCAAATCAAAAAATAGTTTACTCTTTTCAAAATTGTTTACTCATATCAAACATGTTTACACCGATCATATTTATACCTTGTTATATAACTGTTAACAAAAATCAGTATTTTAAATATCATTATAATTTATTGTAAAATCATATTTATCATTTCAGTTTCTCATAAGTCCATTCTATTTTTCTACAGCGTCCATTCATGACGTCCTGCCACTACGATCCCCAGCATTTGGTCGCCATGGCAACCAGGATAAGCATCGCGTAATGAAAGCTGCTATGGGTCGGGGCACCGTTGGCCTTCTTCAGCCTGTCAGCACTGCATTGCTGGGCCTTGGTAAGGTCATAGATCTGTCCGCCGCACACGATGTCGGCTTTCATGGCCTCTGTGCACCTCTTGTCGGTGTCGCTCACCACCCAGTGGTTGCAGAATTTCTGGTACAGTTTACTGTCTGGTTCATCTTTCAGTTTCTGGAAAAACATCTTCAGTGAATCGGGTGTCATGTCTGCGACTCCGTACGCTGCGGTGAAGTTGTACAGGGGTTGCTGTACAAAAATCAAAGAAACGTTGGGTAACTATTGTTCAAGGCTTTGGCACAACAATATTAAATATTAATAAGACTAAAGAAAGGGCCCCCCTACAAAATATTTTTGATACGTACAAATTCAGGGATGTATTTTGGAACATACCTTAATTTAATTGTTTAATATTTTACACGTAATCAGAGAGCAGCAAAATAGATTCTTGGGAAAAATTTGGCGTTCCTTGAACTGGTTGTGTTATGTTCATTCAAAACTTTTATTTGTAGTTTTTGTCAAATAGTAATTATAACAATTCTATTGAAAATATTTATTATTTTAAATATTTCCTGATTAATTGATTTTTTAAATCGGCTCAAAAAAAAGCATCCTGACTTCATCAAAGGGAAAGAACCTGTCGAATACCGTCGTTAGATACTAAATTGTTTGTGGCTAATTAATCAACTTTAAAGCTTTATCGTAATCTGAAAATTGTATAAACATTAGTTCTTTAGATACTACAGTCAAATGCCGTCTTTTGATATTACGTTCTATAAACTATAGAATTTATAGCAATTGTACATCTTTATATTTTTTTTCATTTTTAAAATCATAATTTTCTGAACAACACCAATTAATGTTGCTTCCCAAATGCTTAATTTTACGTCTTACGTCGCTGCTGCCCTTTCATACAACCATGCTGCGCCATTCATACAAACATGTTACCCATTCATACAACCATGCTGCCCCATTCATACAACCATGCTGTCCCATTCATACAACCAAGCTGTCCTATTCATACAACCATGCTGCCCCAGTCATACAAACATGCTGTCCCATTCATACAACCATGCTGTCCCATTCATACAACCATGCTGCCCCATTCATACAACCATGATGTCCCATTCATACAACCATGCTGTCCCATTCATACAACCATGCTGTCCCATACATACAACCATGCTGCACAATTCATACAACCATGTTGTCCCATTCATACAACCATGCTGTCCCATTCATATAGACATACTGTCCCATTCATATAGACATACTGTCCCATTCATACAACCATGCTGTCCCATTCATACAACCATGCTGTCCCATTCATACGACCATGCTCCCCCATTCATACAACCATGTTGCCCCATTCATACAACCATGCTGTCCCATTCATACAACCATGCTGTCCCATTCATACAACCATGTTGCCCCATCCATACAGCCATGCTGTCCCATTAATCAAACCATGTTGCCCCAATCATACAACCATTTTGCCACATTCATACAATCATGCTGCCCCATTTATACAACCATGTCGCCCCATTCATACAACCATGTTGCCCCATTCATGCAACCATGTTGCCCCAATAATTCTATCATGTTGCCCCATTCATACAACCATGATGCCCCATTCATACAGCCATGTCACCCCATTCATACAACCATGCCGTCCCATTCATACAACCATGCTGCCCCATTCATACAACCATGCTGCCCCATTCATACAGCCATGTCACCCCATTCATACAACCATGCCGTCCCATTCATACAACCATGCTGCCCCATTCATACAACCATGCTGTCCCATTCATACAATCATGCTGCCCTATCCATACAGCCATGCTGCCCCATTCATGCAACCATACTGCCCCAATCATACAACCATGTTGCCCCATTCATACAACCATGTTGCCCCATTCATACAACCATGTTGCCCCATTCATACAACCATGCTGTCCCATTCATACAACCATGATGTCCCATTCATACAACCATGCTGTCCCATTCATTCAACCTTGCTGCCCCATTCATACAACCATGCTGCCCCATCCATACAGCCATGCTGCCCCATTCATGCAACTAGGTTTCCCCAATCATACAACCATGTCGCCCCATTCATACAACCATGTTGTCCAATTCATACAACCATGTTGCCCCATACATGCAAACATTGACAAAACGTAGAAAACAATATTTTAAAACTCTGCATAATGAAAGGGGAGTAATTCTTTTTTAAAAATCGTAATCATACGATTGTCCCTTGTTTTGTCATTCCCAAACTTTTCTTATGACGCAATCAATCCTAGTATAGTGGTGCAGGGGTGCATTATTTTTCAGAAAGTTGGTTGAGGAGTCCGGTTGGGGAGGGGAGGGGTGGTTCAAATGTTTGGATGGGTAGTGCCCGTAGCGTAGTAAGGTTTGGGAAAGATGTGATCCGCCCCTTCCCCCGAGATCTTTTTTTTCTAATGGAGTGGCGGCAATATTGGCATACTGAATAGAGTTTTTATCGTGGAACTTGCGGCAACAATATTGGCTCAACCAGGGTGCCACAAATCCTAGCTTCACCCTTGTGTAGATCATCTATCAGTTCCACATTGAGCACAATAGCGACAAGGGCCAGCTTTAACTTGATCCCCCTTTTTTTTTTTTGTTGTTGTTGTTAAAGGAGGTGACACTGTTCATTTTGATTGTGGGAGGCTGGAAGAAATCGAGGGTGCCGATGGCTCCTTAGCAAAATTGGGGAGGGATCTGTGAAGGGGCGAAACTAAAATCAGGGTTTCTCACAGAAAATGTGATCAGGGGAGGTGACATTTCAGGCGAATGGTTGGGGTGGTGGTGGGGGGAGGGTTAGTGGGATAATAAAGTACCCGGTGCCAACATAACCAGAATGCACTCTGGTAGCGACTCGCCCTAGGGTTTTCTTTTGACCACAGCGTAATTTCACCCTCCCTACTGTCACATGTCACAGTGATCGGCGTGGGGGGAGAGGGAGAGGGAGAGGGGAGGGGGGATTAGCGGAGGGCTCTTTCCAGAAGATTCTTGGTAAATTCAAACGGCTGTGATGCACTGAAACAGAGCGTAGGCCTCTTGACCGGAAGTAGGTGTGTGGCTTAGGAGCGAGAGTGACCTAGTTTTCGTCACGGTACGTCATAGAATCGAATGGTGTGGCCAGATGGGCCTTAAATATTTGGATCATCTAAAATATCCTGCGACAGATCCCTGAAAGAAACACTGTAGAGATGGTAAACTGAAATTTCTTGTCATTTCTCCCTATCTCTTCCCCCTTCCCTTCCTCCCTATCTCTTCCCCATTCCCTTCCTCCCTATCTCTTCCCCCTTCCCTTCCTCCCTATCTCTTCCCCCTTCCCTTCCTCCCTATCTCTTCCCCCTTCCCTTCCTCCCTATCTCTTCCCCCTTCCCTTCCTCCCTATCTCTTCCCCCTTCCCTTCCTCCCTATCTCTTCCCCCTTCCCTTCCTCCCTATCTCTTCCCCCTTCCCTTCCTCCCTATCTCTTCCCCCTTCCCTTCCTCCCTATCTCTTCCCCATTCCCTTCCTCCCAACCCCCTCGAGAAAAAAAATCCTCCTTCACTTACCGAGGGGCATCTCTAAAACGAATGAAACGTTTATCGAGGCAAAAACAAGGGTCAATATCATTTCATTTTAACCCTTAAAAGTAAATGCATTTTTTTATCGGAACAAATCAAAGACCACTTTAGCATTCACTTTTTTTGTCAATATATTTTAGCGGGGAATTTTTTTTTTCTGTTTTTTTTTCTTTTTTTTCTCTTAGAATTTAGCATTTTTTTAGTATTGGTTAACTTCCACCCCTCCCTACCCAAAAAAAACACGTTTTGTCATAAATTTACAGCTGGTAATGTCATAGATGTACAGCTGTTAATGTCATAGATGTACAGCTGGTAATGTCATAGATGTTCAGCTGGTAATGTCATAGATGTACGGCTAGTAATATCATAGATGTTAAGCTGGTAATGTCATAGATGCACAGCTGGTAATGTCATAGATGTACAGCTGGTAATGGCATAGATGTACAGCTGGTAATGTCATAGATGTACAGCTGGTAATGTCATAGATGTACAGCTAGTAATGTCATAGATGTACAGCTAGTAATGTCATAGATGTACAGCTGGTAATGTCATAGATGTACAGCTAGTAATGTCATAGATGTACAGCTAGTAATGTCATAGATGTACAGCTGGTAATGTCATAGGTGTACAGATGGTAATTTCATAGATGTACGGCTAGTAATGTCATAGATGTACAGCTGGTAATGTCATAGATATACAGCTGGTAATGTCATAGATGTACAGCTGGTAATGTCATAGATGTACAGCTGGTAATGTCATAGATGTACAGCTGGTAATGTCATAGATGTACAGCTGGTAATGTCATAGATGTACAGCTAGTAATGTCATAGATGTACAGCTGGTAATGTCATAGATGCACAGCTAGTAATGTCATAGATGTACAGCTAGTAATGGCATAGGTGTATATCTGGTAATATCATTAAACGTTGTCTCTCACCCAATTCGATTTCTGAGCTGCATTAGCCTGGGTGATGTTGATGTAGTACTGAGTGTAGTCCAGGGGCTTCCCAGTGTCCCTGTCATACTTGATCAGGCGTATCCCTGGGTTGTGGGCGTCACCTGTTTTAGCGGGGATCTTGTACCTCCATGGGGTCACAGATGGAGCATTGAATTGTGGTATCATTTTGGAACCTAGGAGATATATATATTATATAAATATATATATATTATATATATATATATATATATATATATATATATATATATATATATATNATATATATATATATATATATATATATACACGTGAAAATTTTTTAAATTGTGTTTTCTTTATGTCAGAGCCCCGCAATGGTTTATAGGTGTGCCGCCGCCATATGCCCCTCTCTCAGAGGATACATTTAAAAAAGATAGACACAGTTGCAGCACCACGCACAATAGACCACATACGGTGCGCATCAATTATTAGTCAAGTCCATAGTCCACATGATGGGGCGGACGTAAATTAGCTAAAAGGCACCCCCCCCCTCAAACCCAATCCCACCCTTTTGCAGACCTCCCTGCTATAAGCTAATATTTTATTCTTTAGATACCGAAGTTTACATAAACTTTCTTCTACTCTCAAACTTTGACCTTGTTCATGTCAGGGGCGACTAGCCCCACCCTCCCACGTCCCGTGTCGACGCAGCTGGGTCATTCTCTGAACTTAAATTGTTTAAATAAAATGTTTTTTTGTGCACAGCGTAAAGGGAAGGTTCGTGCGTACTTAGTGTTTGAAGGGTTAGCTGATCCCTGATTTATATCACATGATCGCATGCTGCTCATTGAATGGTTGGAAGCCTTTTGTCCCTGCCGTAAACAGGAAGTGACTACGGTTTGCTGGATGGGACCACGATCCATTACACTTGACACAGAGAGTGACTTTAACTTGCTATCTCGGACCTCAGTCCATACCCATAAAAATTGTTGGGTTTTTTTTAGTTTACATTATGCTTGTCTTTTTATTTGAACATTTGTAATGTTGTGCTGCATTGATACTGAACGTCAGAGATACGTCCATTCACACATATTATTGTTTATGTCATAGGTGCGATTTCGTGTGAGATCCACCTGCCGAACACATCGTCTGTTTCACTAGTGGTAACACGTTGCAGCTGTAGCCATGCACCGTAGGCAAACGGTTGGCGACGTTCACGGTGCGGAAGTTTCAGCCTTGCTACTTTGTAAGCGCATGGAGAATTCAGGGTTTCGTTCAACTATATCTCGGGGGGGGGGGGGGGGGGGGGCCCCCCCCCCCCCGGGTAAACTCAAGTGCCCCCCGGAGCAAAAATATGTCCAACATTAAATCAACTGGCACAGCCCCCCCCCCCCGAAAAATCTGAAGTGCCCCCCCCCACCCCTGCGGGAAAATTTCTCAAATGATCACTGGCTGAATTTAAGCTCTCTTGGCGAGAAGTTTTAAAACTTCTAAACAGAGTAGCCCCCCATGAGACGCTGAAAGGGTAAAATTTGATTGAATAAACTCACCATCGTCATTTTGAAGAAGTTTAAAACTGTCCGCGTGATCATGTCCGAAGTGGGTGACCACTATGACGTCACTGTAGTCAAACATTATCTTCATGAAGGTTTTTTTGAACTGAGGCCAAAACCAGTCAGAATATTCGGGAATAAAAAGTCCTGGTGGGACATGTCCGGTAATTATCACCTGATAGAGAGGACACTTTAGTAGGACACTAGGACACATACAGTTGTGAATAGATAGGCAGTTTAGATACTGATGACAGAGACATTAAAATGGAAGTTGAAATTAACATGATGGATGAACATGACCTCTGGACGAGATTAAAAGAATTACTTTCAATGACAGGCAGGTTGAACTGAACGATCAAATAACAAGTTGCAATCTTATTTATTTTAAAATAACAAGTAACAATCTTATTTATGCAATATGAACTGAAATATTAAATAATAATAATATACAATCTTAATTTACTTATTTCATACAATGTTACCTTCTCTTTGTTGGCTCTGGAAGAGTTCAGTTGTCTTTCCATCCATTCAAACTGACCAGTGGGGTCAGTCAGGTTCGGGGTCAGTTTGTCACTGGTGTAATACAAGTTGGTGTTGAGGGCAAGGAGGCGAATCTTTGGCTGAACCTTCACCGCGTAGTAGCCACCGGGGGGGGGGGGGGGGGGGTCAAAATGGTACAGGATATCAACCACTTCAAGACTAGTGGTGCAGGACAACAGAGGAGAGACATGGAGCATGCATAGAGTGGACACATGGAGCAGGTACAAATTGGACACATGGAGCTTATACAAAGTAGACACATGGAGCTTATACAGAGTGAAAGAATGGAGCTTAAACAGAGTAGACACATGGAGATTATACAATACAGAGTGGCACATGGAGCTTATACAGAGTGGAAAAATGAAGCTTATACAAATTAGACACATGGAGCTTATACAGAGTAGACATATGGAGCTATACAAAGTAGACACATGCAGCTTATACAGAGTAGACATGTGGAGCTTATACAGAGTAGAAACATGGAGCTTATACAGAGTAGACACATGGAGCTAATACAGAGTAGACACATGGAGCTGATACAGAATGGACACATGTAGCTTATAGAGAGTAGACACATGGAGCTTACACAGAATGGACACATGGAGCTCACACAGAGTAGACACGTGGAGCTGATACAGAATGGACACATGTAGCTTATAGAGAGTAGACACATGGAGCTTACACAGAATGGACACATGGAGCTCGCACAGAGTAGACACGAGGAGCTGATACAGAATGGACACATGGAGCTCATACAGCTTCGATAGCTTAATTACAGAAGTGTGGATCCTGATAGCTTATACATGTTGCTAGCAAATGCACTATTGTATCTCACACACCTCTCAACAAGCAATCCTCACGGTATTCTAGTATTCTCATCATGTGCTCACTTGAATGATTTGGTACCTCATAAAAAAGGGCTATGATCTTATTCACACATACAGCATAGAAGATAACATTATGGACCCTTAGTCGTGATAGAGTAAGCACCGAGGGACTGGCTCTCTACTAACCCTTTCTAATGTCCTCTTTTGCACCGGTCTGATTGATGATCCACTCCTCCCACAGAGCGCCCACCCGGGTGTAGAAGTGGTCATCGTCTTTATCCCGAGCTTGACCGCTGGGGTAGAAGTCGTGGTTACCCAGAGACGCGTACACCTTGGCCGCCTGGAATGTTGTGTTGATGAACTCGGTGATGTTTCGGACTATTTCTAGGTTCAGATCCACGGTGAGGTTGGCATCGGAGATGTGAGCGACGGTGTCTCTGAGGGTAGACATTTAGCACACAGTTTGAGACGCGATGCCCTCAAACGTATTTCTATGCGTCAGTAAGCGATCGGCCACAGTGTGAAAATTTTATGTTATTCTATAAGTTACTGCAAATGTTAGAGTTAATGATAGAGCTTATATTTGAGTTAAAGTTAGATTTAATGTTGGAGCTCATGTTAGAGTTAAAGATAGGGTTAACGTTAGGGTCAATGTTAGGGCCAAAGTTAAAGTTAATGAAAGAGTCAATGTTAGATTTAATGTTAGAGTCAACGTTGGAGATAATGTTATAGTTTTTATAGTTTAAGTTAAAATGGTATAAAGGTTTGTCGTATAATTAAATAGGAAAAATATTTAATAGCCAGTAAAGTTGTGGTGGTCTGGAGATTTTAACTGCCTGGGGACCGCGGGCTCAGCTGCGCCCTCAACTCAATAAGAGAACAGTCAATGTTGTAGCGGTAATTTCTAATCCAGTCAAGATTAGATTACTGTAACAGTTGTTTGTGGGGTTTACCTCAGAACCAAATTCAGAGACTCCAGAAGGTACAGAAATATTGCAGCACGCATTGTATCGCGGATAAATAAATGTAGCCCCATCACTCCCAGTTCTACGAGATCTCCATTGGGTTCCTGTGAGTGAGTGCATTAACTTCAAAATTCTGTCTCTGGCGTACAGCTGCGTAGAAGGCTCTGCACCGATTATCTTAAAGAACTGATTTATAAACATGTATCCTTAAAGAACCTGCGGTCTTCAACACAGTCCTTACTGAAAATTGCCAGGGTGGATGAACACAAAAATTAAAGAACAATTTGCCTAAATCTTTGAGGGGAATTGAAAATGATAAAAAATAATTGAAGAAACATTTTTTTAAAACTTTTTTATTTAAACAGATTTAATAAAATCAGAGCGCTGTGAGCATGCTAAAGTGACATGGATACCAGTGCTACATAAATATCCAATCAATCGATTCTGAATCCGGCACTGTCGACAGTTGAGAGCCGTTGACTTTGGAGATAAATAATTGCCATACCCTCCCATATAACTGCACCTACCCCGTCCAGATGAGAAAGTCCACGTCTGATTTGATGCTGGCCATGGCCTGGATGCTGTCCACAACAAGTTCCCACGTGGAGTCACACCAGTAGTCCCCAAACTTGAGCAGGTTGGGCACGTCATCATTGCACGAGAGTTTACTGGTGCTGTAGGTGTGGTCATAGTGGAAGTCGGTCACGTGCCAGAAGTAGCCTGAAACACAAATGAACATTGTAAGAGACGAGCAGCAGACCAGTTTACATTCGATTTTGCCGCCATTAATCTTCGTGCGTTACATGGTATTTTATCGTTGAATTCACTAGAAACCTCACATCTACAGACGAGTTTTGCGCACTCCCGTGTGTCAATGACCAGGAAGAACACGCCATTCGTGCTGCTCTGAAAGTGGATTCAGTTTCTTTAAATATTTATTTTTAATTGTTAAAAACAAAAATTACAAACACCATCAGATGCGTTGATTTAGCGCGCCACAGGAATAGACAACTTTTTACACGTTACGTTTGTCATGCTCAGCAGATGCCAAGTAACAGCAGTCAGGTGCCAAGTAACAGCAGTCAGATGCCAAGTAACAGCAGTCAGGTGCCAAGTAACAGCAGTCAGATGCCAAGTAACAGCAGTCAGAGGCCAAGTAACAGCAGTCAGAGGCCAAGTAACAGCAGTCAGAGGCCAAGAAACAGCAGTCAGAGGCCAAGAAACAGCAGTCATATTCCAAGAAACAGCAGTCAAATGCCAAATAACAGCAGTAAGATGCCACGTTTAGAAACCAGGGAACGTAATACAGTCATGAAAACGAAATTCTATTGCTAGCATGTGCGGACCAAATGTCATTGATTCAAATTCTTTAGCTAGCATATGAGGACCAAATGTCATTGATTCAAATTATTTTGCTAGCATATGAGGACCAAATGTCATTGATTCAAATTCTTTAGCTAGCATATGAGGACCAAATGTCATTGATTCAAATTCTTTAGCTAGCGTATGAGGACCAAATGTTATTGATTCAAATTCTATTGCTAGCATATGATGACCAAATGTCATTGATTCAAATTCTTTAGCTAGCATATGAGGGCCAAATGTCATTGATTCAAATTCTTTAGCTAGCGTATGAGGACCAAATGTTATTGATTTAAATTCTATTGCTAGCATATGAGGACCAAATGATATTGATTCAAATTCTATTGCTAGCATATGAGGACCCAATGTTATTGATTTAAATTCTATTGCTAGCATATGAGGACCAAATGTTATTGATTCAAATTCTATTTTAAACACCTCATGATGCTATATATTTTTCAAAACTTTGCCTGAACATGTCGGTGTGACACCTGTATAAGATTATATAATAACCCCACATTTCCACATTTGATTGAAGCAGTTCTTCTGGGAATGAGCAGACATGCAGGATGCTGTAGGTAAGGGGCGTGGGCAGTGGCGTAGCTAGGGTTAGAGCCAGTCGTCTTTCTGTCTCGCTCTCTCTCTCTCTCTTTCCCCGATAATACACCCCCTCATTGTTAGGAAAAATAGTGCCCCCAGGGCAGACTGCCCTCTCTGCATCCCCTTTTTGTGCTCCTAGGTGGTGTGTTCTAGTTTAAGACCGTGGAGGGGACTATTAGACAAAACATTCCAATAAATGTTGAGTGCCTAATACAATTTTATTGTATGAGACTTCCATGGTTATTCTGCTCACCATTCAAGTGTCGTATCAAACTAATTGCTTATCAGCAATCATAAACTTTTACTTATCAAAATGTATTCAACAAATAATTTATAAATGTATTTAATGGCTGAACGATGTCTATTTCGCTGTTTTCAAATATACTACTGTATAATTTTAATAGAAATAATTAGTCTAATAATGTTTGTAAGAATTATTAGGTTGGTCTTCGGTCAACTAAAGTTTAAGACCCACTTGTGTTTGTTTGTTTCTGCGTTTATAGGCACAATGTTCGGACGGCTAATTGACCCAATTCCAGTCTACCTATCATGCTGGACCTTGGCAAATAGGCTAGACTCGTTGCCGATGACAACATATTCTCTCAAACCGAAAAACTTTGTGCTTTAGAGGTTGGTTTTAATTAATTCCTTTATAATAACTTCGCTTTTGTTCGTGTGTTTCTTTCTTTGTGGCGGCAAAATCTACGGAAGGCCGATTGACCCACTTCCCCTCATCCTATCGTACTGAAACGGTCCATCAGACTCGTCGCTGATGACAACACATTCTATTAATTTCTCCGCCCCAACACCCAAAAATCAGGTTTTTAAGGGGGGGGGGAGTTGTTAGAAATTCGATTGACCCACTTCCCCTCACCCTATCGTACTGAAACGGTCCATCAGACTCGTCGCTGATGACAACACATTCTATTAATTTCTCCGCCCCAACACCCAAAAATCAGGTTTTTAAGGGGGGGGGGAGTTGTTAGAAATGTGTTCAATAGATGCGTCTTTTAATGTGGAGATTAATTGTATAGCTGTTGCTATTTGCTTTGTATTTTTGAATTATTACGTTATGTTGGCAGAGATGGGACGACTGCGGACTGAAACATCGGTTTTACATCAAACATCAGTCTTATCAACATCAAACATTGGTCTCGTCAACATCAAACATTGGTCTCGTCAACATCAAACATTGGTCTCGTCAACATCAAACATTGGTCTCATCAACATCAAACATTGGTCTCATCAACACCAAACATTGGTCTCATCAACATCAAACATTGGTCTCATCAACATCAAACATTGGTCTCGTCAACATCAAACATCTGCCTTACATCAAACATTGGTCTTGTCAACATCAAACAATGGTTTTATCAGCATCAAATATTGGTCTTGTCAACATCAAACATTGGTCTTGTCAACATCAAACATTGGTCTTTCAACATCAAACATTGGTCTTGACAACATCAAACATTGGTTTTCAGCATCAAACATTGGTCTTGTCAACATCAAACATTGGTCTCATCAACATCAAACATTGGTCTCATCAACATCAAACATTGGTCTCATCAACATCAAACATTGGTCTCACCAACATCAAACATTGGTCTCATCAACATCAAACATTGGTCTCGTCAACATCAAACATCTGCCTTACATCAAATATTGGTCTTGTTAACATCAAACAATGGTTTTATCAGCATCAAATATTGGTCTTGTCAACATCAAACATTGGTTTTATCAGCATCAAATATTGGTCTTGTCAACATCTAAAAAAAAATCTAAGCGTAACTTAACCTTGACTTACTCTTGATAACGAAATGCTTTTACCAATAAGATGTGGTGCACGCTGATAGCAGCCCATAGCAATGTATCAATGTGTCACTTTTTTAAACGGGGGGGGGGGGGTTATGGCTGTCTCACACAAACCTGATTAGGGTGGAATGTGGAACTGGGAACTGGGAATGTGGAACTGGGAACTGGGAATTTGGAACCAATGATTCCCAGTCGCGTTAGGTAAACCCCCAAATTTTCCTTGATAAAAGGACCAGCCATAAAGCAACTGGGACCAAAGTCAGAAGGGCCAGCCATATAGCAGGTATGACCAAAGTCAGAAGGGTCAGACATATAGCAGGTATGACCAAAGTCAGAAGGGTCAGACATATAGCAGGTATGACCAAAGTCAGAAGGGCCAGCCATATAGCAGGTATGACCAAAGTCAGAAGGGTCAGACATATAGCAGGTATGACCAAAGACAGAAGGGCCAGCCATATAGCAGGTATGACCAAAGTCAGAAGGGTCAGACATATAGCAGGTATGACCAAAGACAGAAGGGCCAGCCATATAGCAAGTATGACCAAAGTCAGAAGGGCCAGCCATATAGCAGGTATGACCAAAGACAGAAGGGCCAGCCATATAGCAGGTATGACCAAAGTCAGAAGGGCCAGCCATATAGCAGGTATGACCAAAGACAGAAGGGTCAGACATATAGCAGGTATGACCAAAGACAGAAGGGTCAGACATATAACAGGTATGACCAAAGACAGAACAGCCAATGCAGTAGCAGTCACTCTTATCCAATCAAGATTAGATTACTCTAACAGTTGTTTGTGGGGTCCACCTCAGAACCGAATTCAGAGACTCCAGAAGGTACAAAATACTGCAGCACGCATTGTTTCGCGCATAAAGCAATCTGACCACATCAACCCAGTTCTAATTGGTCTCCACTGGCTTTCTGTGAGTGGGCGTATTGACCACAAAATTCTGTCCCTGTAGTGCAGCTGTAAAGAAGGCTCAGCACCGGAATATCTTCAAAAAACTAGTTTCTAAATGTGTATATGTACATTCCATCCAGAACCTGCGCTCTTCAACACAGTCTTTACTGAGAGTTCCCAGTGTGGGTGGACACACATAAAAGTAATACGGTGTGCACTCTTTTTAAGCTATTGTGCCAAAATTATGGGACAGTTTGTCTCAATCTTTGAGGGAAATTGGAAATGATAGAAAGTCATTTAAGAAACATATAAAGACTTTAGATTCCTTTAAATAGATTTAAGGACATGAGAGCGCTGTGGGCATGCTAAAATAGCATGGACACAAGCGCAATAAAAGAATTCAATCTATCAATCAAAATCAGGTGTGACCAAAGACAGGAAGTTCAGCAATATCGTAGATATAAAAATGTACCAAATTATTGGGAATTCAATTCATTTATTTATTTATTTATTTTTATTTATTTTTTTTTTAAGTTTTACTCGTACAAAAAAATACTTGAAGTGATACGAAATCGTTCCTTTTTTTCAGAAACTATCTTACACCCATAAAGTAGTTCAGTAAATGTAAGTTTAAAAACCTGTTATGTAAATGTTCATGGTTTGCCAGGGGTCGAAAACCTTTTTTGGAGTAAGGAGCCTTTTTGACACAGCGTATCTGCAAGGAAACTATTTGGTAGCCGGGCAGGGGCGGGCATCTAGCTGGGCAGGGTAGGGTATATAGCTGGACAGGGGCCGGGTATCTAGCTGGACAGGGGCGGGTGTCTAGCCGGACAGGGGCGGGTGTCTAGCCGGACAGGGGCGGGTATCTAGCTGGACAGAGGCGGGTGTCTAGCCGGACAGGGGCGGGTCTCTAGCCGGACAGGGGCGGGTATCTAACTGGACAGAGGCGAGTATCTAGCTGGACAGGGGCGGGTATCTAGATGGACAGGGGCGGGTATCTAGCTGGACAGGGGTGGGCATGTACCTGGACAGGGGCGGGTATCCAGATGGACAGGGGTGGGTATCCAGATGGACAGGGGCGGGTATCTAGCTGGACAGGGGCAGGCATGTAGCTGGACAGGGGTGGGTATCTAGCTGGACAGGGGCGGGCATCTAGCTGGACAAGGGCAGGTATCTAGCTGGACAGGGAAGGGTATCTAGTTGGGCAAGAGGCGGGCATCTAGCTGGACAGGGGCGGGCATCTAGCTGGACAAAGGCAGGCATCTAGCTGGGCAGGGGTAGATTGTTTTAATGAATGTAAAAAAGAGCCACTGGTTTGGGCTTGAGTTNGGGGTGCCGACCACTGGTTTAGGCTTGAGTTGCTTGAATATGGAGGGGCGAAGCCACGTTAAGTAGTTTTGACATTTTTTTAAATTTGTTATGGCAGTTTATATATATATATATATATATATATATATATATATATAAATTTTGAATAAACAAAACTGCTTGCTTGTGACAATAAATGTGGTGACGCTATCTCTTAGAAGATAGCGGACATTGCAGTATGAATTTCACGGCGTCTCGATGGGGTACTTCATTGATCCTGAAGGCGGACATGTCATAACAACGCGCTATCACTGATAAAATACAGGTGCTCTTAAGGGTGACCATGGCAAGTGACACTCTAGACCACGCCTTCACAGTACTTGAAAAAAACAAATGTCATTTAACCATCATAGAGCTTTTGGAACTCCTGCCATCCAATCTTGTAACTGTACCCTGAGGGCAAGCAGTGGCGTAGGAAGTGGGTGGGGCCTGCCCCGGGCGGCAATAGTTTCCCCTGTACCGATGGGCGGCATTCTCGGTTAACTGCAGAGTTTTTAAATCGTGGAAGGGGGCGGCAAAAAGCTTGGCCCGCCCCAGACGGAACAAGTCCCAGACACGCCACTGAAAATCCGGACGGAACTAACCCTAGCTACGCCCCTGAGTGCAAGTACGCCTTCATCGAGATACAATTTTGTTCTACTGCAGGAGTTCTTAACCTAAATACTGTACCAATTAAAAGTTATAGTTAGGGATTATGGCACTTCACTAACAGGTCAGCCGAGGAAAAGCGGAGCCCGCGCAAAGCCAGAAAAAATGAATACATAGAAGAAGATGACACCTCGGCGCACCAGCAATATAGACATTTCGGCGCCCCTTGTCTATGTGAAGTGCATGAAATTTTGTCGTTTAATAGACTTCAGGATCTAGATGCGATTTAGGCATCACCTGATTTTGCGCCCGGGGAGCGGGGAGAGAAACTCCTTTGCCTCCCCCCCCCCCATTTCGCATGGCCATGATCACCACAATACCAACGGGTATCCATGGTCGACAAGCATCCATCTACCTTGAGCAGGGGCCAAGCCATCCAAGCCCTATCCTTAGATTAATCTCCAAGCCAATTGGTTTGGTTTTTGTTCGTTTTTTTCTAAGTTTTGCTTTTTTTTAATGGGGAAATTCGAAGACCATTACTTGCTCCACATAAACTATAGTCGAATTCCTTTGATGTTTTTTTTAAACTACGGTAAAATTGTCTAGCTTTGGGTATTTTCCGAATTTTCAAAAGAGTATTTCCACATAGTTTGATACGCAAAGTGTCGCGAAGACAATCAGACCGTTGATCCCCTATCTTAACGTTTTCATGCCTAAATCTATCTCAACAACATCTAAAAGTTCTTAGCTAGCATAATGCTTATACGGGAAGAAACCCGTACAGACTGGATACTACTGGCACTTTTAGGTCAAGGCTATACCAACATATCTACTCTACGGGACAACAAGCGTTGAGGGCTTGATGTGTACAATGAGTTTTTTTTTTTTCATTTCGCTCATTGACCTTGATCTACTGAGAGTGACGTGTGCCGTTTTCAACGGGATGGTAAACTAATATGTTATGTCTGAAACACTTCTATAAATATTTTGTAAGGTAAACATTCGTACTGTTATTACCAGAAACGTACAGTAATGTTGTTATTGTTTATATATATATTTATATTTATATATATATATATTTATATTTATTAGTCCTGGTAAGTCGTAGAGCTGTTGCCCGAACAGTTAATGACAATAAAACTATTATTCATTGATCAGAAGATCGAGTACATCTAGTGTCCAGGCATAAATCAATAGCACAACTACTGTTATCTATACACTTTCGAACGACCATCAAGATTTGTTTCCCTTTAAATAAACATTCAATGACAGAAGCGCTCGCCGCGTAATAGTAACCAAACACAATTGTTTATTTTTGGGGGGCAAGGATTGCCAGATTGGCCTTTTGAAGACCAGATTCCCCATGATCATTGTTTTGAAAAAACGAAAGATAAATTGGGTCGGTCAAATTTCCTGTACATAAAGAGGCGAACAAGTGTTGATTAGACTTGAGCAATCTTGTCAAAATACAACAATATGGCTTGCTTACCTGTATTGTCCTCTCCTTAAATGTCGAGCAGGTCAAAATAGAATGACGATCAAAAAAGAAAGGGCGCTGGTATTGGTTGGGTTGCTATTGCACAAAGATAAGCTGTCTGGTCATCGCGTATGGTGACGTATGTGCTTTAATCACCAAGTATGGTGCATGTGCTTTAATCACCAAGTATGGTGCATGTGCTTTAATCACCAAGTATGGTGCATGTGCTTTAATCACCAAGTATGGTGCATGTGCTTTAATCACCGAGTATGATTACGCAGGTGCTTTAATCAACGTGTGTGGTGACGTATGTGCTTTAGTCACCAAGTATGATGGCTTAGGTGCTTTAATCACCGAGTATGGTGACGTAGGTGCTTTAATCACTAAGTATTGTGACGTAGGTGCTTTTATCACCGAGTATGGTGACGTAGGTGCTGTAATCACAAAGTAAGGTGACGTAGGTGCTTTAATCACCGATTATGGTGACGTAAGTGCTTTAATCACCGAGTATGATGACGTAGGTGCTTTAATTACCAAGTATTGTGACGTAGGTGCTTTTATCACCGAGTATGGTGACGTAAGTGCTTTAATCACCAAGTATGGTGACGTAGGTGCTTTAATCAACGAGTATGGTAACGTAAGTGCTTTAATCACCGAGTATGGTGACGTAAGTGCTTTAATCACCAAGTAAGGTGACGTAAGTGCTTTAATCACCAAGTATGTTGACGTAGGTGCTATAATCACCAAGTATGGTAACGTAGGTGCTTTAATCACCGAGTATGGTGACGTAAGTGCTTTAAGCACCAAGTAAGGTGACGTAAGTGCTTTAATCACCAAGTATGGTGACGTAGGTGCTATAATCACCAAGTATGGTAAAGTAGGTGCTTTAATCAACGAGTATGGTAACGTAAGTGCTTTAATCACCGAGTATGGTGACGTAAGTGCTTTAATCACCAAGTAAGGTGACGTAGGTGCTTTAATCACCGAGTATGGTGACGTAGGTGCTGTAATCAACGAGTATGGTGACGTAAGTGCTTTAATCACCAAGTAAGGTGAGGTAAGTGCTTTAATCACCAAGTATGGTGACGTAGGTGCTATAATCACCAAGTATGGTAACGTAGGTGCTTTAATCACCGAGTATGGTGACGTAAGTGCTTTAAGCACCAAGTAAGGTGACGTAAGTGCTTTAATCACCGAGTATGGTGACGTAGATGCTGTAATCACCAAGTATGGTAACGTAGGTGCCTTAATCACCGAGTATGGTGACGTAAGTGCTTTAATCACCGAGTATGCTGACGTAGATGCTTTAATTACCGAGTATGGTGACGTAGGTGCTTTAATCACCGAGTATGGTAACGTAGGTGCTTTAATCACCGAGTATGGTGACGTAAGTGCTTTAATCACCAACTAAGGTGACGTAAGTGCTTTAATCACCGAGTATGGTGACGTAGGTGCTGTAATCACCAAGTATGGTGACGTAGGTGCTTTAATCACCGAGTATGGTGACGTAAGTGCTTTAATCACCAAGTAAGGTGACGTAAGTGCTTTAATCACCGAGTATGGTGACGTAGATGCTGTAATCACCAAGTATGGTAACGTTGGTGCCTTTATCACCGAGTATGGTGACGTAAGTGCTTTAATCATCGAGTATGGTGACGTAGGAGCTTTAATTACCGAGTATGGTGACGTATGTGCTTTTATTACCGAGTATGGTGACATATGTGCTTTTATTACCGAGTATGGTGACGTAGGTGCTTTAATTACCAATTATGGTGACGTATGGGATTTAATCACCGCGTTTTTTGACGTAGATGCTTTAATCACCGAGTATGGTGACGTAGGTGCTTTAATTACCAATTATGGTGACGTATGGGACTTAATCACCGAGTATTTTGACGTAGATGCTTTAATCACCGAGTATGGTGACGTAGGTGCTTTAATTACCAATTATGGTGACGTATGGGACTTAATCACCGAGTATTTTGACGTAGATGCTTTAATCACCGAGTATGGTGACGTAGGTGCTTTAATTACCAATTATGGTGACGTATGGGACTTAATCACCGCGTATTTTGACGTAGGTGCTTTAATCACCGAGTATGGTGACGTAGATGCTTTAATTACCAATTATGGGGACGTAGGTGCTATAATCACCAAGTATGGTAACGTAGGTGCTTTAATCACCGAGTATGGTGACGTAGGTGCTTTTATCACCGAGTATGGTAACGTAGGTGCTTTAATCACCGAGTATGGTGACGTAGGAGCTTTAATTACCGAGTATGGTGACGTATGTGCTTTTATTACCGAGTATGGTGACATATGTGCTTTTATTACCGAGTATGGTGACGTAGGTGCTTTAATTACCAATTATGGTGACGTATGGGATTTAATCACCGCGTATTTTGACGTAGATGCTTTAATCACCGAGTATGGTGACGTAGATGCTTTAATTACCAATTATGGGGACGTAGGTGCTATAATCACCAAGTATGGTAACGTAGGTGCTTTAATCACCGAGTATGGTGACGTAGGTGCTTTTATCACCGAGTATGGTAACGTAGATGCTGTAATCACCAAGTATGGTAACGTATGTGCTTTAATCACCGAGTATGGTAACGTATGTGCTTTAATCACCAAGTAAGGTGACATAAGTGCTTTAATCGCCGATTATGGTGACGTAGGTGCTGTAATCACCAAGTATGGTAACGTAGGTGCTTTAATCACCGAGTATGGTGACGTAAGTGCTTTAATCACCGAGTATGGTGACGTAGGTGCTTTAATCACCGAGTATGGTGACGTTGGTGCTTTAATCACCACGTATGGTGACGAATGTGCTATAATCACCAAGTATTGTGACGTAGGTGCTTTAATCACCGAGTATGATGACGTAGGTGCTTTTTGTTTGAACTTTTCTTCTTTTTTTTATTCTACTTCTCGTCATGAACGCCATTCCTATCTGGATATGGAGACTTTCAACACAACAAATATGACATCTGAATCGGTTAATTTTGTTCAAATTATTTGTTTTTTCTCCCCACATGATACCCTCGTTACCAATAAGTTCAGAAAATCGACGCACTTCTGGATAAAGATATATATAAATCCGAATTGTTTTTGGGGGTGTTAGTGCCAAAAAGCTCCAATCCACCGTATTGCTGCGCCACTCACACGCCTACCCTATCCTGTACCACGCCTTAAATTACGACCCTGAATAAAACGTATCCAATGACACGCATGCGTGGCCACAGTGGCGTGTGTGCAGCGTTACAAAAAAATATATTAACAAGCAACCGAATCAAAGATCACACCCACTTCGTAAGGACTTACCTGGGTTTTCACTAGTGGCACCACAAACTAACAACAGCAGGCCGAGGAACGCACCAGTCGCCATGGCGGTGGTCTGCAACAGATCAAAACGATATTTGGGTTACGGACTGATTCTTGCTAGTATTCTTCACCTGTTCCTGGTAGCAGCCCTCACGAGCTCGTGAATGTCAGTGCCAGCTGGCTTTACGACTTACACGTTTCAGGTAACCTCGCATTTCCCAATCTAATTAATAGTGCCCCCCCCCCCACCTTCCTTTCCCCACTCCAGACCCCGACCCACATCCGTATTGCTATTTTAAGTACTTGTTCCATGAGATGTTTATGAATTCAAAAATAAATACACATTGTTTTTGTTTGTTATTGAAGTCAAGAAGGCAAGTTCACCTTGAAAGATTTTATTTTTTATTTTTTTTTTTAAATCACATTACAGCCTAACATTTTTTTTTTTTAATGTTAATAATTTAAAATTTTATGTTTATTTGACGTTAAATACACATTGTTTTTGTTTGTTATTGAAGTCAAGAAGGCAAGTTCACCTTGAAAGATTTTATTTTTTATTTTTTTTTTTTAAATCACATTACAGCCTAACATTTTTTTTTTTTAATGTTAATAATTTAAAATTTTATGTTTATTTGACGGTGGTCGAAGTGGAATATTCACGTTCATTAGGGAGTCCATTTTTTAATTAACAAATAAACACATTTTTTTAAAAAATCTTATCCTGCAATATTATTTTGCTGCACAAATGATAAAAATAATAATAAACAAAACAATTAAAAAGAAAAACTCAGCACTTAATGTCGTGTTACTAAAATTCCCACGTCTAGCTGGAGAGTGGCATTTCTCAGCCTTTGTGTACAGACCTACCCACAAATTCCTGACTTCGTCAGCCAGCTTGAAGACGGCGAAAAGTTAACTTAACCTTTGGATTTCTTTCTTAGTCTTTATTTATAGTGGACGCAAGCGTCTTTTTCAAAGGCATGATGTCATTGTGTGTATTTGACAACTGTAGCTCGTCACACTGACACGTGTGCTGTTGGAGTCTAGCCAAACCTTTGACAACCAAGGTACAGTAGCTGTGGTGTGTGCATCTGTTTACCCCGTACCAAGAAGTGAGCTGGGATGGGTTCACAGGTGAGATCGGTTTACTGGTGAGATAGGTTGACTGTTGAGATCGGTTAGCTGGTGAGATAGGTTGACTGTTGAGATCGGTTAGCTGGTGAGATGGGTTAACTGGTGATATAGATTAACTGTTGAGATGGGTTAACAGGTGAGATAGATTAACTGTTGAGATAGGTTAGTTGCTGAGATCGGTTAACTGTTGAGATTGGTTAACTGGTGAGATAGGTTAACTGTTGAGATGGGTTAACTGGTGAGCTGGGTTAACTGGTGATATAGGTTAACTGATGAGATAGGTTAACTGGTGAGATATGTTAACTGTTGAGATGGGTTAACTGGTGAGCTGGGTTAACTGGTGATATAGGTTAACTGATGAGATAGGTTAACTGGTGAGCTGGGTTAACTGGTGATATAGGTTAACTGATGAGATAGGTTAACTGGTGAGATAGGTTAACTGGTGAGATGGGTTAGCTGTTGAGATAGGTAGCAATTGGTGAGATAGGTTAACTGATGAGATGGATTAAAGGGCTGAGAAGGGTTAACGGGTCTGAAATGACTTAACAAGTTTGAGATGTGTTTCTTACATGTTACTTGTAATATGGTTTCAAAAATGTTGTCTGTTTAATATATTTAAAGGTTTGACTCGTCAGATGAACTGTTAAGAAGCTGAACTTTTTCACTCATAACATGCTCAATCGTGTTCCAGTGTGTAATTTCTTGAGAGGACTATGTAGAGCAATTTTTTCAGGCCTTCATGAGCCAGAATGATCAACACTTTGATCGTAAGCTCTTAATATGTGTAGAAGATGAACACGTGACAGGAAACCAGAGTACAAAGACAAACGATGCCAAAGATAGCGATACTAACAATAATCAAGTTAATTATAATACAGAGTTGAATTAAAAATTAAAATTCCAATATACAGAAATAGAAGAATCTATTATCTTACAGCACAGCAAGTGAAAATACTAGAAATATTCAAATATTAATATACACCCACATCATACACAAGGGGAAGTCTAGAAGGTATGGAAGGTCTGGTAGGTCTGGTCTGGAAGTTCTGGAAGGTCTAGAAGGTCTGGAAGGTCTAGAAGGTCTGGAAGGTCTGGAAGGTCTGGAAGGTCTAGAAGGTCTTGAAGGTCTTGAAGGTCTAGAAGGTCTGGAAGGTCTGGAAGGTCTGGAAGGTCTAGAAGGTCTGGAAGGTCTAGAAGGTCTGGAAGGTCTGGTAAGGGGGCGCCCATTAATTACGTCAACAAAATAGGGGGAGGGGGGTTGTAAATGTTTGACAGTTGTTGACAAGGGGGAGGGGGGTAGATTAGTTGACGTTAACAATCGTGTTTTCTCTATTAAAATTTTGATCTTAAAAATTAATTGGTTATTAAATTATTTTTAAAAATTTACAAAGTAAATGAGTGTAAATAGTCATATAATTTTTAGGTTTTTAACAATATCAGATTTGTTTAATGTGTGTCTGTCTGTGCACTGCAGATGGCTGGTCAGAATGTTAGCACACTTTGTTAGTGCAACAGAAGTCAAAAGTCGGCCTCTCTTCACCTGTAGATTCTGTTGCAGGTATGGAACAAGGACAAGGTCAAGTGTCATGTGCAGTCAAGATAAATGATATTGATAAAGTAGGAATACGATATTTTGAGAATTCGGGGAAAGTAACGTGAGTGACAATAATAACATCGCTGCTTGAACGGCTTTGCAAAATCTGTAACATCTATTTTGCACCACAAGTCATGTTGAAATAGCATGTTCATCACAACCGACAATGCCCTCTTAAGCATACAAAATTAGCACCTGCTCCTCAACAAAAAAGGATTCGACCAATGCGAGTAGCTGCAAGGAGATACAGCTTATGGCAACATTGCTCACACCGAAAATGCTTCTATTTCAAGTGCTGAATAGTAAGATGAGGATGATGTTGACTTGTCTGGTATATCAGTTCCGCAAGATGAAAATGATCAATCAGCTGCTACAGACTATGCCCATCAGGGACGTCATTTCATGTCTTTTTTTCGGGGGGGGGGGGGTGAAAACCAAAACTTGTTCGGCTTGTTAAGTTGTTTATTACTGGAGGCGCCACAGTACATAGCAATTTAAATAAAACCTGCAAATTATGGGGTTGGGGAAAATTCCCCCCTGCCCTACCCAAATTATATCCCTGATGCCCATTGTTAAGATAGAGCAAACCTGGCTACTCCTTGGAAAGATGATAGCAGCTAGAAACTATACTATAATTGTCAGCTTTACTGACAATAATCATATTTATACTTCCACTAACAATGATATCTAGTCTTTAACAACCTTTCAATTGATTCTGCATTATAAAATTTAAGAGTAAAAACTTTTAAACTTTTTGATTAACAATCTAAATATGTAATGATTTTTTTCCTACAATTTTGTGTCATTACATAGATCAGCACGAAGTAAAAAGTATTTATAAATTTATGAAAAATATAATCCTTTTTTTTTTTTTGGGGGGGGGGG